CGACGAAAAATAAAACATGCCCTACAAATGATCAAACAATACTCCACTCTTTGCGTGGACGTCGATCGCGAGGTGGGCGAAGCACTCGACGAGAGCGAGGGCGCCGCTCGTGCAGCTCACCACGCTGTGCGTGCACGCTTCCTTCCTTGGGCCTCGCCTGCCGGGAGCGGCGAAGAACGGCCTTCTTTGGCCGCGTCCACAAGACGAAGAACACGCAAAACCCCCCAACATGCTCAAACATGCGGGAAAATGATCGGAACATCGTCCCCAAAACTATGTTTGAACCATGTTTGAGTCTTCCTCCTGTGGAGGGGTAGGCAAGACTTAACCCTTCCCCTATCCCCTCGCCGCATCTGGGGGCAGGTCCCAGCCGAGGTCCAGCAGCTGTTCGCTCTCGGCCTGGAGGTGCTCATCACCCCCTCCATCGGCCAGCGCTTGGGGGGGGGCTCATCATGGCGCGCGAGGGCCTCCGGGCGAAGCACGCGGCGGCGGCGGCCGCGAGATGGCGCGGCTGGGCCGACGATGCGTTCAAGAACGGGGCAGGCTGCGCCCATCGGGCCACCGGACTCCACGAGCGCCTCGAGGTGTTGAGCCGGACGGGGCAGGCGGACACCTGCGCGCTGGCCGACAAGGCCATGGACCAGCGGGAGGAGCTGTGGTGCGCTCGCGGCCCGACTGGCTGCCGCTGCCCGGCGACGCATCGAGCTGGTCGCGGCTGCCGCCGCTCGACGGGCCGCAGCTGCGAGCGACCACGCAATCCTTCAGCTGGAAGGCTCGGTGGGCAAGGGCCGCGTGCACCCCGGGGCGATGTGGTTCGCCTCGGACGCCGCCTTCGCCGCGCTCGCGCTGCTTGTCATGCGGTGCGAGGCCGTGCTATCATGGCCATCCCAGCGCAGCATGAACGTCACGGTTCGGTTGCCGAGGCCAGATGGCGGCACGCGCCTGGTAGCGCTCGTCTCCGCGCTGGTCCGCGTCTAGGCCAGGGCGCGGAGGCTGTTGTCGAGGGAGTGGGTCAAGCAGCATCCTCATGAGTGTGTTTTCAACCTCCGGCGGGGCTACTCGTCGGTGGATTCTGCGCGTGGCCACAACGTGACGGCCGAGATCGCCCACCTGCTTGGCGAGCCCAGCATCGTGATCCTATTGGACTTGTACAAGGCCTTCGACAGCGTCCTGCCGGGCCCGCGGCTGGAGGAGGCGCGGAGGCTTCGCTGCCCCATGCGGCTGTGCCGGCAACTCATCGGCTACTTCCGCATGCCGAGAGTCGTTCGCGCATGCGGCTCCTGGAGCCACGAGGTGCGCGCGCGCCGGAACATCCTGGCTGGGTGCGCGCACCGCGCGGGGCTGCCGAGGGTGCTGCCCTGCTGGGCGGTGACGCGCCTGCGGAGGGTCGCGGACGACCTTGCGCCGAGGGGCCTGGTGGACGAGCTTGCGTTCCAGTGGATCGGCGAGCAGGTCGGGGCTGGCCGCTGCACCCTCCACCGCGCCGTCGCGAGCTTCATGGCCGACGTGGGGCCGCTGGGGACGGAGGTCGAGGCCAGCAAGTCGGGCTGGCTCGCAACCGCCAAGGGGGCGCAGCGGGCCTTTGCCCCCGCGGCGCGCCAGGTGCGCCTCCAGGTGCGCGCTGGGGCGCGCGACCTGGGGCATGATACCCATGGCCGCGGCGTGCGGCGCGCGATCGCCAAGGCCGGGCTGGATGCGCTGAAGGCTCGAGGGCCAAGGGTTGCGGCGCTCCAGAAGACGGCGGGGCTGCGCATTCAGGCCCTGTGGAGCACAGGGCACCTGCCACCCGCTGCCCATGGAGCCGCAGTGGGTGGCGTCACCGACGAGCACCTGGCGAGGCCCCGCTCCAAAGCTGCCATATTCTGCAGTGGCCGTGGCGGGGTAGGCTCCGATTCCATCACGCTGCACCTCGCCTCGCAGAGGGATCCCTACCTCGACCCGACCTTGGAGGCCACGCTGCTCCCAGTCATGAAGTGCTGCGATTTCATCTGGGACGAGTGCCTGCCGCTGGCCGGGCTGCGGCGCGCCTGGCAGAAACTGGAGGCGCAGTGGATCGAGGCCAGGCCGTCATGGCATGGGCTCCGCGTGGCTGAGCCTGCTGAGGATCGGCTGGACGATGCACTCTGGCTTGCTGCTGGTCACCGACAAGGGCGAGATTCTGCAGTGGCCCACCTCCTTCGAGCGGGTATCGCTCGATGGCAAGGTCGGCAGATTCTCAACCACCATGAGGCGGTGCTGGCCGACGCTGTGCTGTGGCACCGTGCTGCGCGCAGGGTCTTGGCTCCGCCCAAGGCAGTGGCGAAGGGCGCACGGGCTGGGCAGTCGCGCAAGCTGTGGGCTGGGGCCTCCCTGAACCTGGTCAAGAGGCACCCCATGAACTACCTCGCGTCGGCGGCCTGCCCTTTGAGCCCAGGCGATGCGCCGTGCACCAAGGGGCATCAGTTCTATGGGTGCCCGCACATCTCGACGCGAGGCGACGATGGGGACGGAGGGAAGCTGGAGGAGCTGCCCGAGAAAGTGCTCAAACTACGCGACAAAATCAAGGATGGCGCCGGGGTCGGCATTGCCCACCAAGGCTACGACCGCTTCGAAATGGTGGTCGGCCTGCCGCTCCTCCCGCGGATGGTCAGGCCGGCAGCGCTGGAGGCCGAGGTGCGCTTCTGGGGCGATCAGTGTGTATAGGGTTAGAGTACAAAGGTACAGAACCCCTGCACCGCAGGTAGAGGAAGGAGGGAAAGATGGGGATCTTCTCCTCCTGTGCGACCAGCGTCCTGGTCTCTTCCAGTACCTGAGCCGATCGGACAGGCAAAAGGGCGAGTGAGGAGTAGAGATGAGGGTATGAGACGGGTTCCTTTCACAATCGGGAGTCGCCGCTCAACTCACGCAACACGATAGCCTACCACGACGGGTCGGGCTTCGGCACGGCGTGGCCCGAGCTTTGCCGCTGCGGTTGGGCCGTGGTGCAGCGGAACGGCCACAACATGCCCGTCGGGGCGGTGCTTGGCGAACTACCTGGGCGGCGCCAGGCCGTCGGCCGTGCGGATCGCTGGGCGTTCCTGCAGATGCTGCGCGTGATGCCGTGCGTCTCCCATGCCGTCACTGACTTGTCGGCCCTGGCCGCCGAGATCGAGAGCCGGGACCCTGCGCTGGCCAGTGCGCGGGGCCAGTGTGCCGACATCTGGCGCGGCGTGCTCGAGCAGATGGACGGCCTCCCGCGAACTGGAGCGACATGGTGCCCAACGCACGAAGATGTGGACTTTTTCCTGCAGAGTGCCGGCAGGCACCACATCGGCGACTGCTACGGCAATGTTTAAGTCGGGCGTGTCCCCCTACAGGGGGATTTTCGACGAACAATTGAAAATATGTTCACAAAATATTCAAAACATGCCCCCAACTATACTCAAACCTATTTTTCGACTGTTTTGGAATCTTCCTCCTGTAGAGGGACAGGCCCGACTCAATGCAATGCCTGGGCCGACTTCTCCGCGAAGGCTGGGGCCCAGCAGATGCACGCGCGGCCCCGAACCATATCCTCGACGCCTTCCGCGCCAAGATGGCGGGCGCCAGGGCGGAGGCCAAGCTTGTAGCGTGGCTGCTGGCGGCGGCCGGCTCGACCGTGGATGACATCCACGACCCAGACGTCGGGCGTCTCGTAAAAATCGAGACGGAGGTTTTTCATAGTTTTTGGCCTCCCCAGGCCCTCAGTGCGCCTCGGGACCGGCACAACCGACTCGGGATGAACAGCCGGTCCTGGGGAAATGGTGGGAAGGTCGGGGGCCCGTGTCTCGAAAAAATCGCGACGTCGGATGTCTGGGGAGGCCATCCCAAAAAGGTCAGGAGTTGCTGCCACTTCTGCAAAACACAGCTCGTACAGCAACGCCACCGGCTGGTTCGGCGCGGGTCGAGCTGGCAATGCGGCCTTTGTTGAAGGGGCCCTGGGACACACAAATAAATACACACAAATAAAAAGATGCCCCATATTTCTTCATATTTTTTGGTTTTTTGTCTCCCCCCCCACTTCCCATATTTTCCCATATTTTCTGGGGAATCGACGATTAATTGTGTCTGTGTGTTTCTTGTCCTCCTGATTTGTCTGGCCTCGGCGAGCTCTGGGAGACAGGGTGGAGGCGACTGGAGCGCGCAGCGTGCGCGCCCTCGGCCCTGCAGAGAAGGATGGCCCGCGCTCGTGCACGCCTCCCCTGCTCTGCCGCCTCTGCTCCTTCTGCTGCGCCGCTGCCGGCAGCCCGCGAGGAGGCCATCTCGATCGCCCTCGCGGCGGCGGATCGTGTCCTCGGAGCCGATCAGGGGTGGACGGTCGCAAATAACAGGGCTGCTGAAGTGGGGGGGGGGCCCGCTGTGTCTAGCGCGGCCTCGAGTGGGCCCGATACTGTGTCTAGTATCCCTGAGCCATCGTTGCAGCTTGTTCGGGGACGCCATGTGGTCCCCGAAGGCTCATTTGTCTACTGTCTGAACTGCGGGGGATCAGCATCCACCCGCCAGTCCCCAGTGTTGATGGCCCACTGTAATGGCCCCATCGACTGGGACACCAGTATGCTTCGTTCCACGGCCTTCAGAAATCTTAAGGCCAACTGTCACCCACCCACGGGGATCCCCTTAACAGGTGACACCCACGCGGCTTCGGGATAGCCGCGTTTTCCTCTAATCAGTCGTGGCTCCCTCGTTTCCTCGGCGGAGTCATTCGAGTCGCGTGTCCTCCTCCTCCTCCTCCTCCTCCTCCTCCTCCTCCTCCTCCAGCTCCTCCTCCTCTTCCTCTTCTTACTCATCCTTCCTCCTCCCTCCCCGTCCTCCTCCCTCCTCCTCCTCTGTCCTCCGTCCTTCGTCCTCCGAATCCCTCCTCTTCCTCCTCCTCCTCCTCCCCCTCTTTCTCCTCCTCCCCCTCCTCCCCCTCCTCCTCCCCCTCCTCCTCCTCCTGGTTGCTCCCCCGTGGCTACTCCTGGCTGCTCCCCTGCGCCTCCTCCCCCCGCCGGCGAACGCTCTCCTCAGCACCCGCACCTCGAGGGCGGGCCCTGCGCCGGCGTCGTGCTGCCAGACGTCGGGCAGGGGCCCGTCCTGCGGGGCGTCGTCGTCGCCGTCGCCGTCGCCATCGCCGTCGCCATCGCCATCGCCGTCGTCGTCGTCGTCGTCGTCGTCGTCGTCGTCGTCGTGATCGTGATCGTCGTCGTCGTCATCGTCGTCGTCGTGGTCGTGGTCGTGGTCGTCGTTTTCGTCGTCGTTTTCGTCGTTTTCGTCGTCGTCGTCGTCGTCGTCGTCGTCGTGATCGTGATCGTCGTCGTCGTCGTCGTCGTCGTCGTCATCGTCGTCGTCGTGGTCGTGGTCGTGGTCGTCGTTTTCGTCGTCGTTTTCGTCGATTTCGTCGTCGTCGTCGTCGTCGTCGTCGTCGTCGTCGTCGTCGTCGTGATCGTGATCGTCGTCGTCGTCGTCGTCGTCGTCATCGTCGTCGTCGTGGTCGTGGTCGTCGTTTTCGTCGTCGTTTTCGTCGTTTTCGTCGTCGTCGTCGTCGTCGTCGTCGCCTGCGTGGCCGTCGCGGGCGGCCGCCTACGCCCACTCCGCCGAAAGTTGTGGGAGGAGAGACCCCCTTCACCGTTCGAAAATCGTTCTTCCTCCTTCCGGCGGCGAACGAGGGGGGGCGAATGACAAGGAGAAGGCCTTCTGGGAAGGCAGCGGTGGGAAGGCGGCGGGGCCCCTCAGAGCTTCTCAGACGCGCTCGCGCCCTCTTGGCGTAGAAAACTTTTCGGAAGGCCAAGGGATTTCCGAGCCTTCTGAGAAGGCCCGCCCCTTCTCACTTCACCCCCTGGCCCGCCGGCGATCACCCCACTTGTTCTCTCAACATCTTAGCTTCGATTTGTGAAAAGATGGGCTATAAGCTATAGCATAATAAGATATGCTTGCAGAATTTGCACCACCGCTCTGCCGCCTCAGTGTCCTCAGCTGGGCGGGCAAAGTGAAGCGGTTTTTGCAGATGCGTGCCCTTTGGTCAAAGGCATCTGCAACACCGGATGTGTGACCTCTGCTTCTATGAAGGGGAACTGGAACACACAAATAAATACACACAAATAAAAATATCCCCCATATTTCCCCATATTTTCTGGGTTTTTGTCTTCCCCACCACTTCCCATATTTTTGCATATTTTCCTGGGAGTCGACGATTAATTGTGTCTGTGTGTTTCTTTCCCTCCTGATTCTAAAGATTTTTCTCGTGGGGCTCTCCGAGCTTTCTGGGGGGGCCCGACGCGTAGGCTCCACACACGATGCGCAAGACTAGAAAAAAGACCCCTTCTCTCGGCCCTGCATGCGTTTAGCTTGCGAGGGCGGTGGGGCGGGCCAGACTTAGGGGGAAAACAAACCTACCTCGCTTTTGACCACCCTCGCTTCCAACAGATACCAAACGATGCCAAACTACGGCCTGTACTGGTCAGGCCGCTTGGCGAGGAGGCGCGTGGTATGACTTGGTTTTGCCTGGAAGCGAAAGCGGGGTAGGTAATTCACGCTCTGAAAACTGCGAATCTGCGAGCTACCTGAGACGAGACGAGACGAGACGCGCGTGTCTGCCGGCAGGAGGGCCCCTTAGGAGCACCACGGGCGGGCCGGGGCCCGATCAAATGCGTGCGTTTGCGAAAGAATCCTTCTTCAAATTGTTCCATCGTGTCTGTCCGGTCTCCAGTAACATCGAACCTCGTTTTGGTTTTAACCCCAGTGGCAGCTCATACGAACTGTGACATGTCATCGCGCCGCCTCTTTCGCTGTCTTCTTTGTCTGCGCATCGCTGGTTTGGCGTCGTGGACGTCGATTTCCGGCGCTGCAGCAAGGGATTGATTTGCTATTCTTCTGCCAATCGCAATTTGCGCTTTTGGTAAAAAGGGTCGTCCAATCGTCGACTTTGAAGCGTGTCGCTAGATCTGCAACTGCGCGGGCAGCTCTGCGAATGGAATCCACCCGCGGTTCTAGATCGGAGTCGTCTTCGACGGTGTCGCGGTGATCTTGTGTTCCAGCGTCATTGGTGCTCACGGTATCGCCTGAGCTCGCGCTGTCGTCGCGTTGAACAGGAGTTGGGTCGGCGTCGCTACTCTATCGGTGCTGCGTATTGCTGGCCGCCGTCGCCTGGGCGCGTTTACGATGAGCCGCAACATGCGCCGTCGGGTGCGTCGCAGTGTCAGGGGCATGTCGTTGGTGAAGCCCCACGCGGTGCAGCCGCGCAGCACGCTTGGCGTCGCCGCGCCGTTCAATAGTCGGGGTCTGCTGTGCGCGGGGCACCGTTTGATTGTCGGCTCGTCGCGCAGCTGCTTGGACATGCGCCACCGCGCGGCAATTCTGGAGCGCAGTGCAATGGTAATCCCGTGGCTTCAGCTTTCGTCCAAGGTGCTTCGCGCTTTGCTCGGCGCTGAGGATTTCGACCGTGCCGCCGTCGATGTCAGCGCGCGTCGTCGCTCGTCCGCGCTGTCTGCCCACGCGCGCGAGAACGTTGTTTTCGCCCGGGTGGAACTCCAACCCGCGCCTGGAGGCCGCGTGCTTGTGGTCGCGGAGGATGCGCTTCAACTGTCGCGAATTGGGTGCTAAAAGCAGCACGTCGCCAGCAAACCACAGATTGGTCAGACGAATTGCCCTCGCGTGCCCAATTTGTCTACCAGGGCCTTTCTCGCTCCAGATTCCAAACAGACTTGGTTTCCCCGCGCACGTGCCCGAAGCCTGCTTTGAAAAAGGCAAGAACTGAGTGGGTCACGTGGCCTAGCGCCACGCTCCATGTTGAAGCATATGCTGTTGACGTCTGTCCTCGCCGTGGCCGTCTGCCCACTGTAGAGCTTCCGCAGTAGGGTGATGCATGGCGACGGGCACTTCTTCTCCGGCAGTGCTTCCCACGAGCGCCGATAGTCGACGCAGTCCTATGATCCCTTGAAGTCTATCGCAGCTGCCCGCGCGTTGAGTTGCCGCGCGTAAGAGTGTTCGAACATCATAATGTCTTCTGTGTTGAAGCTCTTGCGAGAGCCAGCTTGGTCTGGTGGCTCTTGGGAATGAATCAGTGCCTCGAGGCGGTTGCAGAGTAGACGGGGCATGAGCTTGTCTAACAGCGGTGTGCCTGCGATTGGTCTGTAATTGTTTTGGTGATTGTGCGTCCCCGGACTTGACGATGGCGCTGATTGCGGTGCGTCTGAACTGATCGGGAGGTGTCTGCTCTGGTTCTATTGCGCCCTTCGACAGCTTCAGCTGGCGATGCTCAACGATGGCGCCTCCGGCTTTCAACGACTCTCAGGCGAGGCCAGCCGTGTCCTTGCACTTCCCGTGTTTGAATTGCCTCGCCGCATGATGACAGTGTCCTTCGGTGAATGGTGGGATGCTGCGTTGATCGGCGCTTCTCGCTTGGCTTTGCCCGGAAGTCGCTCTTCATTGTGTCGAGGGTTCTGTCGCTGAGGAACGTCGGTGCAAATCCTTGTGGAAGTCCGTCTGGACGTCCGCGATCCCCTGTTGATCTGTTTTGTCACTGCCACTCGCTGTCGCCATGGCTGGTAGTGCATGGGTCTTTCTTTCTGTTCGACTTGTTTGCGCATATTTTGTGGTGGCCGCAAAAGCTAATCTGACTGCGAGCTGTTTGTTGCCGGCCGAGCCCATCGGACATCCTTCCGGCCCCTAGGCCAGCGACCGCCCCGCAAGACTGGGTGCCGACGCGCCCGCGGGATCCCGAAGTCGGCGTCGCCACCCAAATCGCGGCGGGCCTGGGCGAGTCTCCCGGGGAAGGCCCCGACGCAAGCGCCGCTTCTAGGCCGTCTTGCAGCCCTGGGTCGGGCAACAAAGAACAACTTCCATGGCGAATAACAAGCAGGCGCCGCTGGCTCAGCTCAGAGATGATGATGGAATGCGCCCTAGCATTCGTCATGCACGCATTCGCGGGCCCGTCGCCGGCGCGGGCCGCCACGACATCGACGACGTCGATGCAACGCGACGGCGGGCTCTCGATGGCCACCCGTCGCCAAGAGGAAATGAGCGTCAGCTAGACCGCCCCAGTCGCCGCCAAGCAGCCAGCCCACCGTCCGTTCGGGGCAACCTCCGAGATGTGCTGCCATGCCTTCTATCCCGTCGAGGCGCAATGTGCGCCGTGCAGACAGCCAGAATGGGGCCTCCATTAAAGCTCTAATCATCCGCCGCCGCGTCGCGTTCATCATGTGAGATGCTCTCGTGAAGCTCGGCTGTGTTGCTGCGTCAGAGACACGGTGCCGCGCCGTCGAGCGTAGGTGCATGAGAGGTGGTGGGCGCGCGCCGCCTAATCGACGCTGCTGGTGGAAATTCTGCCACAGAACGCAGAATTGTCTACGGCCCTCCCCCGGGACCTCGCATGCAGTTGTCTGATCGAACCAGAGCCGACCCCAGAAGGGCAACGAGCCGATCGGCCGAGTCCCCCCATGCGGCCGGGGAAGGAAAACAACGGCAATCAACCGCAACTGCTCACGATGCGGACGGACGGCGTTCCCGGGGGTTCAGCAGAGCAGCGACAAGTTCCGCATTCTCCTCAGGTTAGAGCTGTACCAGACGCTCGTGACACGTGTCCCACCTGAGCGCTTTTGACTTCGACGAAGTCTTGGCCGCTGCTCGAGCGCCCGCTGCCTTGGTGAGTGGTGGAGTCCGTCGTTGTGCCCAGGTTAAGGGCAGTGCATCATTCGCGCGAAGCTCTGATACCCAGACCCCCCCCCATGCCTGCAAGGTGCTTTCTACTGCTGCTGCCCCCTGCTTGCTCATCCACAATGGGCATCGCTCCTGGGGCTCAGCCTTGATCGCGGCGCGGGCCAGGCGGCCCGACTTGACGACGGCTCCCGCGCCGAACTCGCTCCGCAGCTTGCCGCGAAATGCTGCGTCGCCCAGACGACGGCGGAGGAAAACGCAATCTGAAAATGCCCCGGCATCTGCTCGCCGAACCCCGGCCTAGTCTCCGATCCGAGGGCCCAACGCTCGACGCGTTTGCTGCCGGCGATGTTCGTGATGGCCGAAGGCTCTGAGAGCTCAGCCTCCGGTAACTTCGCCCTCAGCCGTTCGCGGCACTCTGATTTCCTGACCTCGGCCCCCAGCGGCGCCCTGGGTACTTGGAGACATGTCCTCCAGAGCCTCGTCAAGGATGCCCAGGTCACGGACGCCGACGTCAAGACGCTCGCGCAGCGTCATCGCGCAATCCAATGCAAGTTTCTGCATCCTTCGAATGCCTCGAGCCCTGCCGCCACGAGAGCGTCGCCCATGCGCGGTAACCTGGAATAAATCATACAAGTGCGACTCAGACTCAAAGAAGCAAGCTGCCGGCATCGCCTCGAAACTCGTAATGTCATGACAAGACTCGACCAATGAACAGGCGCCCCGGCGCCCTGGCCGATGGCCCCGAGAGAGCCCCAGATATCGATGCCATCGATGCTGAAGGCGTCGCCGACGAAACTCCCGGAACTTCAGCGCTGCTTGCCCTATCGAGCGGGAGGAGGCGCGGAGCCCGTTCGACCCGGGCGAAGGGCCGTCTCCGCAAACCTTTAGCGCACGCGGTGCGCAAGCACGTGGTGAGCATGGGCTCTCCCCCAAGAAATCAATCGAATCCTGGGAGGCGACGAAATAGTCGCGCAGATTCTGGCCCCAGGTAGGGCGCAACATCCGTCCATGGAACAAGGGTTTCTGGGTCGCGTGTCCAGTCGCACCCCGAGAGGGGGGGCAAGGGCTGCCCGCTCGCGTCGCTGGCCAGAAATCCCCCCCGAGAACAGAAGTGGTGGTTCTCCTCGGCTGAACCCATCGAAACAACTGCGTGGGCCGAGACGCGAGCAGGGCGCTGCCTGGGGCGAGATCTAGCCGACAAAAGACTGATCGATGCTTCCGCCGATCGGGAACCTGTGGGGCTCGATTCGCGCCAATCTGATCAGGCGCGGGGGTGCCGACGGCGCTGGATCGCGAAAGCTCCGTCTCGCCCGTTCGGCGCGCTGGGCCAAGAGACAATCTGCGAGGGGAAAGCCGATTCCGTCGGCTTGCCAGCGGCTCCTTGTCAGGCGCAAGCCGAGTCTCTCGAATGAGACATGCGTCTGGCCTGTGCATTGGGCAAATGGGTCGCGTCCTGGGCCCCGTTCCAAGCGCTGCCATGCACCGTGCCATCCATGAGGCCATATAGAGTTGACTCGTGGCGGGGCCGAAGCGCATGCAACGGCGAGATGACCTGGCCCTGCTAAACCCTCGTTGGAAATGCCGCCATCAAAGAATCGCCTCTGGGTGCGCGCCGAATGGGAAGTGCAGGTGGCAGGTCAAGACAACGCCTTGCTGGCTAAACCAGTAAGCGAGGTCACTCCTTCCCGCGCGGAGGGCGAGGCAGCCCCTATGACCTGGGGCGGACTCGCCGAGAGCGTGGGATCATGCGTGGGGCGCGCGGTAGTCCACCCGCTGACCGAGCCTGCCTCCGCAACCTCGAACGCGGCCAAATTGAAGTCTGGATGTTGCGGAACAGTCGAGCCACCGCGCAGCACCTGCCATGTCTCCTGGACCACTGGAGTCGAGGTCGGCGGCTTGACTGATGGGGCCACGTCGCGAGCCAGGCCCCCGGCCTCATGTGTGACCGCCAGGTAGAGCACCAACTGAGCATCGGCCTCGTTGACATGCGCTGCCACCGTCCCAAGCGAGCGCAATTTATCTGGGTCGAAGGTAGGGCTGATTCGGCAGATTCCTGAATTCACGCAGCTTGCAAGCTGTTGCCCTGGGCGCCACCTCGTCGGCCGGATGGCGCAGCGCGGCAAGGGGGGCTTGAGCCTGGCCTGGGTCTCGGGGACAATGTGGTTGTCAGAACTCTGGCCTCCAGGGTCCCGCTCGTCATCGCGTCGAATTGGCGTCCAGGTTGGCTAGCTATGCTGCGATCTTCTTCGTGATGGCATGCGCCTGCCCGCCGGGGCCCAAATCCCGAAGCGCTGCGCCGAGCTGGCCTTGGTCCAGCCCGTCTGCTGCCATCGGGGCTGACTGCGCCACCTCCCCGGCTGCCTGCTGGGCCAGGGCACATCGTTGCCCCGCAAACTCCAGGATGGCATCTTCCTGTTACTTGAAACTTGGACGGCCCTTGGAAATATCCGGCTAAACTTTCGCCAACTGCTCGCGCTTCTGGGTCGGGACATAATTTGATTCGGAGACCTGCTTCTCAGTCGCCACCAATCTGGACGTGGCCTTCCTGATGCGCGCGTAGATGGGCCTCGGCTCCAGGAGCTGCTGCAGGAGTCTGTCACGCTCCTGCTCAGACTCGACCTTGCATGCCTGCCACGCGGGCCCCGGGTGCTTCCAGACGGCGATCAACTCCTTGTCCAATTCCTGGAGCGTCGAACAAGCGCGTTCGTCAACGGTCTCTCGCCATCCATGGAGAGATCCTCGAACTCAGCCGTGAAAAAGGGCCTGGCTTGGCTGGGGCTTGGGTGGCGTGACCGACTTGGGCCTCGAGCTGCTCGCATTGCTGGCGGAGACAAAAGAAGCTGTTTGGACTCTGCGTTCCCACGGCCTCCACTGGGTGTGCTTCTACAAGGTGGCTTGACGTCCGTCTTCAGCCGTTTCGAAGGAGAGCTTGGTTCCAGATTGCCACCGAACGACGCGGACTCATGATCGCCGCACAGGTACCAAATTGTGCGCTACGGGTCATTGGTCCACTGATTGCCCGCGCGGTCATGCTTGCAAGATTTGCGCAACCATCTCTGTCGCTCAGAATGACGTTTGCCCGTCCGCGAAGCACAAGGGAAAATGATCCGCGGTATCCACGCGATCTCCTGTGGAACATATCATATTGAACCACACAGGGCCAAGCAGGAAGGAGGTGGATGGGGAGGATGAGGAGAAGGGGGAGGAGGAGGAAGAGGAGGAGGATCACGAGGAGGAGGACGACGACGAGGAGGAGGAGGAGGAGGTGAGGGAGGGGAGCGGAAGGAGGAGGAGGAGGAGGAGGAGCGAAAAATCAAAAAGAGGGAATGAAAGAACGGAAGAATGGAGAGAGAGGGATATGAAGACTGAGATGTATTGCTGTTGCCTTTGGGGGCCGGTATGAAGCTGATGAGTCGGTTGGCGAAGGGAGGCAAAAAAAGGAAGAGGAGGAAGAGGAACAAGACGGCCTGCTGCTCCTGCTGCTCAATCCGCGCTCCCCCTGACCCCTCGCCCGTGCCCCTGCTCCCGCCGATGGCGTGGCTCCTTCTTGTTGCCTTTCGTTTCCTCGTCGATCTCATCGTCATTTTCCTCGTTACCGCCCTCGTCATCGTCACCGTCACAATCATCGCCGTCGTCGTCGTCGTCGACGACGTCGTCGTCGTCGTCGAGGTCGTCGTCGTCGTCGTCGTCGTCTCCGTCGCCCTCGTCGTCGTCGTCGTCATCGTTCTCGTCGTGCCTCGTCGTTTCGTACGCCGCCGTCGTCGTCGTCGTCGTCGTCGTCGTCGTCGTCGTCGTCGTCGTCGTCGTCGTCGTCATCGGTGTCGTCGTCGTTGTCGTCGTCGTCGCCGTCGTCGCCGTCGTCGTCGTCGTCCTCGTCACCGTCGGCGTCGTCGTCGTCACCTTCGCCATGGTCGTCGTCGTCACCGTCGCCGTCGTTGCCGTCGTCGTTTCCTACGCCGGTTTCGGCGCGGCCGCCGCCGTCGCCGTCGCCGGCGTCAGCGTCGGCGTCGGACGCGTTGTCGTCGTCGTCGTCGTCGTCGTCGTCGTCGTCGTCGTCGTCGTCGTCCTCGTCCCCCTCCTCCTCCTCCTCGGCGGCGGCGTCCTCCTCCTCCTCCTCCTCCTCCTCAACCTCTTTCTCCTCTTCTTCCTCTTCCTCCGTGGGCTCCGCGTCACTCGTCCTCCTCCTGGTGCAGTTCGTTGGTGTGGAGGAAACTCTTCTGTGGGGAAAAAAAGACTTACCGATACCGCTACTCCCTGGACCTCTCACGGGGTTCGTTCTGACAAGGATTTCGACGCGGATCCAGCGGTGGCGACGAGAGCCTCCGAGGAGGCCCCGAAAAGGGAACACGGGCGAATGCCAGCGGAATGGGTGCCTCTTCCTCTGATTCCCGTCGGCCTCGTCGCGCAGGGGGCCGCGACGCGAACGAGCACCACCAGCCACAATTTCAGCAACAGCGCAGTGCTGCGACGGTGAGAACGGCTCGGGATGAAAGATCGGTCCTCGGGAAGGAGCGGATCCAGACTTCTGGGGAGCCACGAAGCCACCGATATTGTCTTCTACTGGGTGGAGTTTGCTTCTCTGAGCGACATACGCTGGCCTGCCTGGGACACGGCCCGACGGGTCGCCGCCTCGGGGTTGGCCCGCTGGCCGACCGCCCCGCCGGTGGGCACGGGGCGAACCACGCCCGGCGCCCCGACCGTGCCGAGACCTCGAACAGCACGGGCTGATGACGAAGAAGCTGCTGCTGCTGCTGCTGCTGCTGCTGCTGCTGCCGCTGCTGCTGCCGCTGCTGCTGCTGCTGCTGCTGCTGCTGAGGGGGGGGGGGAGGGGAAAGGGGGAGGGGGAGGGGGAGGGGGAGGACGGGGAGGGGGAGGAAGGGGGGGGGGCAGGGGGGGGCAGGGGGGCACAGAGCCACCGACACTGTCCTCGCACTGCACCCCCTCGCTGTTGAAGCCGGGCACCACCTGCCGCGTCGCCGTGCCGCCAGGCCCCACCTCGGATCGCGCTCTCTTCCGCTGCTTGCGCTCCCTCCCCTCCGCACCTTCGCGCGGCCCAGGGCTCTGAGAAAGGCCCTGGGCGGCCGAAAGTGGCAAGAGCGGCGGAGGCGGAGGAGGCGGAGGAGGAGGAAGAGGAGGGGGAGGAGGAGGAGGAGCAGGGACGGTGTAAGACCGTTCGGCCCCCTCACTCTGAGAATGGCAGATGGGGGGGGAAGAAACTGATCAATCAGGATAGCAGCAACCCGTGCAGTCCTGGGAAGCGCAGCGGCTTGACGCAAGCAAGATGGCGCAGCGCATGCTCTAGAGGGCATCGCGGGCTGACAGCCACTACTCGACCTCTGGACCTGGGTCGCGTACCCTCGCGCGAAGGAACAAGAGGACGATGAGGAGCAGAACGCGGAATCTGGGGGGAGGATACATGAGCGTATGACCCGCAGGGGCCAGGCCCGCCCTCTGCAGAGACGAAGCAACTGAGCCCTGGCCGGCCTCAGAACAACCAACCTCCGCCCGCGCTCAGGAGCCAACGAGACAGGGCGAGGGGGAGAATGGGCGGCAGCAGGACTGGCTCACAACTGCGACGCCGTGCTTTTTGCTTTTCCTCCACAGCAGGGACACCCAGCAAACTGGAATCCTTCCCCAGGACTGGCCTCTCTTCTGGGCGTGAATTACTGGGGGGGGGTGATACATGGGGAGGCGGAAGAACGGTACACGTTTCGAACCCTGAAGGTCCCCTTCCAAGGGGTGCCTTTTCGGCAGCACTCGCTGCCCGCCCCCCCACTGCACGACCCCCCCCTAATTTTAGGTCGGGCATGTCCCCCTACAGGTGGATTTTGGGGAAAACTCAAAAATAGCCCAAACATGTTCAAAAGTGCTCAAAAGGAGCAAGAAGATCGACCCCATATTAAAACATAAAAAATTGAATATTCCTCCTGTATAGGGACACGCCCGCCCGACTTAACACTAATATCGGCGGTGGATAAACTTCCCTTTGGTAAACCTCAATTTAGTGAAAACGGCCTAAGACCGAAACCCACGGACCTGGACCCGCAAAAATAACGGCCATGACGCCCTCTCGCGAACCGAACACGGCCACTTCGCGAATCGACGTGTCAGGGTTGGAGGTCTATCCACCCCCGATGAAAATACGCGACGCCCAGCTCTCATGGCGAGCCGCTCTCCGAGGCCTCCCCGGGCCCACTGAGGGCACACGGCGGCCGAAACCGACGCGCAGGAGCCCAGGCCCCAGTCGAGCCCGCGGGCGGCCGCCGCGACTGCGGCCGACGGGAGCAGCAAGAGCTCACTCGTCCAAAGGGGGGGGGGGGCGCACTCGTCCAAAGGGGGGGGGGGGGCGCAGCGGGCCGAGGAGGAGGAGGAGGAGGAGGAGGAGGAGGAGGAGGAGGAGGAGGAGGAGCTGAGGAGGGAGGAGGAGGAGGGGAGGAGGAGGAGGAGGAGGAGGGGGAGGAGGAGGAGGAGGAGGAGGAGGAGGAGGAGGTGGAGGAGGCGGAGGAGGAGGAGGAGGAGGAAAAGGAGGAACAATCCTCGGACCAGGCCGCGCCGGCACGGAGCTGGAATCAAACCGGATCGGCCGCTCCAACATGCACGACGGAGCCGTGCAAGCGTCCGGCCGCTTCGGGTCGCTCCAGCACCGGAAGCAGAAGGCATCGAGCGGGGCAAGCGAGCGAGCGAGCGCGCTGCCATCGGATCCGGGGATCCGGCCCTGAGCAGGGCGGCGCGGCGGGGCCTCGGCCCTCAGATCAGACAATTCGCCGGCCCAACGGGCCAGAGGCGTGCTAAGATCTCCGGTAACGACTTAACAATATTTCTAGTTCGCGCGCGCGGGGCGGCCCCTGGGGGCCCCTGGACGAAAAGTACCCCGGCTGATCCCTGGCCGGGTCCCGGGCGATCCCCAGGGGGGAAGCTAATTTTCGGCACCCCTCACGAGGATCGTGGCCTCTGAAGGGGGGGGCTGCAATCGACTACCCCCTCTCCCGCCCCAAAAGGCCCCAAAAGGCCCCAAGAGCCTCCCAAGAGGCCCCGGGGGAGCCCAAGACGCCGCCAAGGAGCCCCAAGAGGCTCCCAAGAAGCCCCCAAGAGGCCCCCAAGAGGCCCCATAGAACGCTCCAGGGCCGGCGGAATGAGCGAAGCGATTAAATCATTTTCCACGGCCTCTAACCATCGTTTCCGCTGTCCTCCGTGACGGCGCCGGTGACGTGGTTGAGAAGGTACCCACTGCAAAACCCAGTTTGCCCACGAGTGTTCCGAGCCCACTTTGCCCACGAGGTCGGCATCCAATCGGGTCGGTCGAGTCGGACTTTACCTTGGGACGGTGCCTGTGCATGTGGCTTCCGGTCGGGCGTATCCTCCTACAGGCGGATTTTAGAAGAAGCATTGAGCAAAGTCAGAACATGAAAAAAGCTGATCAAAGACAGTAGAAACACCGTCCTCATTTGTCTCTCGCAGAAAATGAATATTTCTCCTGTAGAAGGGACATGTCCGACTTAAACTTGGCTCCGAAGGTGGGTGGTCAGGTGCGCCCGCGGCCGCAGAAGCGGCCCCCACAATCAGAAGACTATGACATGAAGCCGAAGCCGGCCTTGGCCTCGGCAAAGGTGGGAGCAGCAGGAGCACCCAAACAGATGCAACAGCACCAGCACGACGACGCTAGGCCACACAGGCCAGCAGGAACCTGGCCCCCCAGAGCAGCTGGGCGACCCAGAGTCCAGAGGACGGCCCCCTACAGACCTCGGACCCCCAGAGTACCCCCCGCGAGCGCAGGGGCTCGATCGAGAGCCTGGCACCCTTCAGACGCGTCCCGAGTCGAAGGGCAGCCGCGCGGGGAGAGGGGGGGGGGCCGCCTCGGGAGCGTGCAACTTGCAGACGGCGTCGTAGTCGTGGCAGCAGTTGCCAGCTGGGCCTGCGGCCCCCTCGGGCGCCCCCGCGCGCGACGGGGGCAGCGCCGAACACCTCTGCGGCCTCCTCCTCCTCCTCCTTCTCCTCCTCCTCCTCCTCCTCCGACTCTCCTCGTCGCCCTCGGCCTGGGCCGGCTCCACCGTCCTCCTCCTCCTCCTCCTTCTCCTCCTCTTCCGCTCCTCCGTTGCCCCGAGGGGGCCCCTCCCGTAGGGGAGGGGTCGGGACCCCAGGGTCCTCCTGGCGCAGGCGGGGAGCGCCGGGCCCGAGGGGCGAAAATCCCCCGCACCCCGGGGGACGCCGCCAAAGTGCGGTTTCCTTCCCCCGGGGGGGTCGCCTGGCCCCGTGTGCTTCCCCAGGGCGGTGCTGGGTCCCCCCCAGCACTCGCCGCCCTGGGGCGGGGCTGGCGGCTCGTCCTGTCGTGTCGCTCGTCCGTCTCGTGTCGTTCGTGTCGCGTCGTTCGTTTCGTCCCCCTGTCGTGTCGCGTCGTGTCGTGGTCCCGGGGCCGTAAAACGCGGCCACCCATGGAGTGGGTGGTGGGTAGGGTTGGCGCTGAGCACGGCTCGCGCCCCCTACCCCGACCAGGGAGCGCGGAGCACGGTCTCCCAGCGCTCCCTGGTCGCGCTTAGGTCGCGCCACGGGGGCATGGCCCCGACCGTGGCGCGGCCTGCGCCGTTTTTGGTGCATCTCGCTGGCACTCGCCACGCCAGCGGAGTCATGTGGCTGTTCATGGGTCGACCCTAAAAAAATCTTCCGCTCCTCCGTCTTGTCTTTTACGGCGGAAGCGATCTCGCCTCTAGCGATGTCGGCCTTTCAACTCTCAGAAGCCCATGACGACCCAAGTAGCCTCCAAGATGGCCTAAAAACAGCCTCAGAGGCACCCAAGAAGGGTCCAAGACGGCCAAAGAGGGCCCCTTGTATGGTTCAAAGAGGCCCCAAGACGGTCCGAGCACTGGGACCTTCGGTGGAGCTGCCTATGGGGCCACGATCCTCGTGTGGGGTGCCGAAATGGCCCGAGGCTGCCATGCGCACTTTGCTACTGGCGCCTTCGGTGGAGCTCCCTTAAGGGCCACGATCTTCGTGAGGGATGTGTCGAAATGGCCCGAGGCCGCCATGCGCACTTTGCTACTGGCGCCTTCGGTGGAGCTCCCTATGGCGCCACGATCCTCGTGTGGGGTGTGCAGAAATGGCCCGAGGCCGCCATGCGCACTTTGCTACTGGCGCCTTCTGTGGAGCTCCTATGGGGCCACGATCCTCGTGAGGGGTGTGCCGAAATGGCCCGAGGCCGCCATGCGCACTTTGCTACTGGCGCCTTCGGTGGAGCTCCCTGGCGCCACGGTCCTCGTGAGGGGTGTGCTGAAATGGCCCGAGGCCGTCATGCGAACCATGCCACTGGGGGCCTTCGGTGTAGCTCCCTATGGCGCCACGGTCCTCGTGAGGGGTGTGCCGAAATGGTCCGAGGCCGCCATGCGCACTTTGCTACTGGCGCATTCGGTGGTGCTCCCTATGGGGCCACGATCCTCGTGAGGGATGTGCCGAAATGGCCCGAGGCCGCCATGCGCACTTTGCTACTGGCACCTTCGGTGGAGCTCCTATGGGGCCACGATCCTCGTGAGGGGTGTGCCGAAATGGCCCGAGGCCGCCATGCGCACTTCGCTACTGGCGCCTTCGGTAGAGCTCCTATGGGGCCACGATCCTCGTGAGGGTGATGATGATGATGATGCTGATGATGATGATGATGATGATGACGATGATGATGCGAGGAGGAGGGAGGGGGCAGCGGGAGGAGGAAGGACCGCGGGGCGCTGTCTCTTCAAAACGAGGACCCAACACCACAAGAAGGTTGGGAACAAATCGCATGCCCAGTCCTGGATACATCACAGAGCAAGTGCCGATGAATCCTGTAGGCTGGAGGTCAATGCAAGATCACTCCATGAAAGCAGCCCCGGCGACCCAAATGAAGCTGGGGCGGCAAGCAAACATGTCTTCAACCGTTCAACAAATATGCAAACTGATTCTGCGGCCCTCGACACGCTCCCAAGAAAGCCATTACACTGCAATCTTCCAAACAGCCCTGATTCGGGCAACTCCACTGACACTTGCTCCTAGATGGGCTGGTGGGGATACACGAAGCTTCAAGAACTACTGTGTAATAGTCGAATAACGCATTGTTTTGCATACTCATGTAAATCCATCTTAATCTCCCCCCTGAGGCCACCCCACATCCACCAACCCTGGGTGAAGGACAAACTTCTGGATTATTTTTGCGATTTGCCTCCGTACGGAAACCAACGGCCCCAAGGCACTCCAAGATGGCCCCCCCAAAACGCTTCCAAGACGCTTCAAGAGGACCCCCGAGAGCGCCTTCAGAGGCCCAAATCATTGATTGACCCAAAAAGTTTATGATATATTTTAACGTCCTGGCCTTTTGCGACTCTCAAAAGCCCATGGCGGTCCAACCAGTCTCCCAATTTTCCCCAAGACAGCCCAACAAGCCTCCAAAAGGATGGCCCCAAGATGGCTCAAGAGGCAGGCCCCCAAGAGAGCCCCAAGACGGCTGCGAGAGGCCCACAAGACGGCCTCCGAAGGGGCCAAATGGCGCAAGAGCGCCGGAAGACGGCCCTTCACGCCCCCAAGGAAAGAAGCCCCCCAAAGGCCCCAAGAAGCCCCTAAGAAGCCTCCCAACGGCTTCCGGGAGGCTCCCACCAAGCCCGGCAACGACTGGACTGCACGTGCTCCAGACGTGCATCCCGCGAACGAGAAAAATCATGCGATAGGGCTGGGCGGCAATGCTCGGACAGGCAAGAGCAGTGGCACTTCCCAAACATGTAGCTACGTCATTCAAAAATCTATGCGCCACAAGCTCAGCAGGCCGATGGGGTCATATCCACTTCCCAGCGTGCGCTCCAGATTTCAACTGCTGCAGTCGACGACGAAACTGCGCTTGCGACTGACCGCGAACAACAATAGTACATCACAGCTTCCTGCAAGTACGCAAGTGTCGTGTGTAGTCTTTACAGTACCAGACGATGGCAAGAAACACTGCATCGACACTACCACATCCGACAGGTCGATATTGAAGGAAACATAAATAGCAGTCGAAGGACCTTTAACCCTTTGGGAAGGGAGCCTCAGTTAGGAGGGTCGACAACATTAGGGATAGGTGGTCTTTTCTGCATATGTACCAGACCAAACCGCCCAGAAGGATGATCCCTCCTTTGAAGACAGGGACCTACATGAGGCCACGCCTTCACCATGGCATTGGGGCTACGGTTTCTCTGGCCATCGCACGGACGTCCATTCCCTGTTTTTTTTGTGTCGTGCGTGGTTTTTTTTCGCCAAATGATCTAGGATGCTCCTCGATGGCCCTCGCCGAACAAAATGCACACGTCCGATGCCAAGTTCTCTTGTTCACGATGACACCATGGCCGTGGCAACATATCCGTGCCCCTCCCAAGAAAAACGACTGGCAGCTGTGCAAGGCGCGCCCCTCCCCCCTCCGTTGCTGGAGCAGCGCGTGGTGCACTGGCACGGGGCGTCCGCCACCTTCGCCCTCCCCTCCATCGGCGGCAGGCCCAGGGGCAAGGCAGAGAGGAGGAGGAGGAGGAGGAGGAGGAGGAGGAGGAGGAGGCAGAGGGGGCGGGTCTTCCCAGAAGGCTCAGAATTGGAGGCCTGGACATGGGCACCAGCACTAACACAGCGGGGGGGGCCTCCACAGGGGGGAGACGATCCTAGATTTTGGTGTTGGTGGTAGTGTCTCGGCCACCTTGAAGCCAGAATATTACCACCATCACCGAGACCAGGGCCTTCTCGGCGGTGGACAAGCCTCCCTTTAGTCAACCTCCCCTTGATGAAAACGGCCTGGGACCGAAGCCGACGGACCTGGACCCGCAACATGACGGCCGCGACGCCCTCTCGCGAACCGAAGACGGCCAATTCCTTAATCGACGTGTCAGGGTAGGAGGTCTATCCACCTCCGATCTTCTTCCTTCGGTGGAGGCACACCGCCCAGGGGCAAGGCAGAGAGGAGGAGGAGGAGGGAGAAGATGGAGGAGGAGGAGGAGGAGGAGGAGGAGGAGGAGGAGGAGGAGGAGGAGGAGGAGGAGGAGGAGGAGGAGGGGGAGGAACAGCGCCGACACTGGTGTTAGGGTCAGCCTCCAGGCCCGCGACAGGAGGCCTCTGGCCTCCCGACAGGCCTGCTAAGCCTTCTCCGACCCCGCGGCGTGCCTCTCAGGCCGGAGGGCTTCCGAGAGGCCCCGCCGCCATCTTTGAGCAGGGACCGACCGTCCCGGCATTCCTATAGTCCTACCACGGAATGTTCTTGGAACCCCAAAATGTTCTAAGAACAAAAACAAGGTTCTCAGAACATAAATCCGATGTGATGAAACAAGACAGTCCCAGCCAGAAATGTAGGGACGAACATTTCGTGGAAACCACGAAAGGTTCTTAAAACATTGTTTGGTTCTTAGAACGTAAACCCGATGTGATAAAACAAGACAGTCCCAGCCAGAAATGTAGGTACGAACATCTCGTGGAAACCACGGGAGGTTCTTAGAACATTGTTTGGTAGGACTATAGGCACGCCAAGACGCTTCGCCCCTGCCTGACATCTGAGAAGCCCCGGACCCTCTCGATTCCCCCTCCGGTCGGAAGGCTGCTTCGACACAATCCACGGTCACTGTCCGTTTGCCCGTCAGGCACCTGCACTCTGCCAATACCACGACCTCAAAGTCGGGCTCCCGATGGCGCGTGCACTCGCACGCCTCCTCTTCGTCCTCCCCGTTGCAGGCACGGTTGAGGCCGACACCTCCCATGGAACAAGAGCAACGAAAACGGCAAACAGTGGAGGCCAGTCCACAAGAAACCTTCCACAAGAAACCCAACCCTGAGATCCCAGGAGGTCCATCAATTGTTGGTGTGGGAATGCCACGCCTCCCACAGCAAGACCATCGAAACCCAAGAAACCCAGGGCACCCTGGAGGTGGGCAAGGTGTTTTTCTTGACATTGGCCCCCACTGTACGCATAAATGCTCGGAAGTCCGCGTTGAGCCTAGAAGAAAAGAAAACCCACGCAAACAGAACTTTTGGCGCTCCGCGCGGATTTCTTGGATCCGCCCCCGGCCCCCCTCCCTGGCGCGCGGAGCGCACCAGGGGCGGCGCCGGAGGCGCCGCCGAGGGGGCCCCAGCGCAGATACAAAAAATCCGCGCGGAGCGCCAACAGTTTATGCTCGTGTGGCTTTTTCTTCTCTCGGCGAGCGCGCTCCACTGCTCGCAGAGTGACTGCTCGCAGATGGCCTGGATCCGCTGGGGGGATCTACGAGAAATTGCATCGAATCAGACATGTGCTTTTGAAGCGTTTGCGAGCAGGCACTCTACGAGTCGTGGAACGCGCTCGGTGATTCTTCGAGGGGCCCCGCGGGCGGCACCTCCGGCACCGCCCCCTTAGGCGCGCTTCGCGCGCCGGGGGAGGGGCCGAGGTCTCTTCCGGAAGCAGGGCCGACAGAGGGAGGCCGAGCCCCTCTCGGGCGCCGTGCGCGGTGCCTTCTCGCCACGCTCTCTGTCCAGGGGTCGGCGCTGGAGGGCTTCTCCGAAAGGCTCCAGCGACCCGTCCTCCTCCTCCTTCTCCTCCTCCTCCTCCTCCTCCTCCTCCTCCTCCTCCTCCTCATCCTCATCCTCCTCCTCCTCTCCTCCTCCTCCTCCTCCTCCTCCTCCCCTCCTCCTCCTCCTCCTCCTCCTCCTCCTCCTCCTCCTCCTCCTCCTCCTCCTCCTCCTCCTCCTCCTCCTCCTCCTCCTCCTCCTCCTCTTCCTCTTCCTCATCCTCTTCTTCCTCCTCGGGTCGCCTACGGCCCTGGGGGAAAACGTACAGTCAGCGCCGTCAGGGTCAAGAGGAGAAGTAAGAGGAGTGAGGGAGGGATGGGGAAGAACACGAATGCGAGGAGGAGGGAACATATATGCGCTTTGCCGTGGAGGAGAGGGGGGGATGAGGGCCAGAAAAGACAGCGCATACGTCGGGACAGCGCATGGCAGCACAGGAGTAGTTGGGGCAGCGCATACGTTGGGACAGCGCATACGATCAAGTCCCTCGATACTTTTAGTAATCGCAGGCCCCTGCACCAACAAGACATCTATGAGAGTTCTCGCCTGGCGCCACGCGGCGTACCTAAGAATGCCTACCAGCGACCCCGCAGAAGGGTACCTGAGCAGAGGAGTCGACAACATCTGAGATGCCAGGTTCCGTGGAGGATGGGGCAAACATCGGGGACACGGCGGGAGCTTGGAGGGGATCATTAACGCCCGCATCAGAAGGATGCGCGGTAAGGGTGCAAGGGCATAGGACGCCAGTGTCGAAACTTTTCGAGCGGGGCGCGGACGACGAAAGCGGCCAAGGATGGACCGAGGAGGCAGGCAAAGGTATCCTTGGGAACGTTGCCCAACCTTACTATGCGTGCTCACTGTAGGAGCAAGACTCATCCGCCAATCCCCGCTTGCCGAGAATGTGTGAGATGATAGGCTGCCCCCTTTGCCCGCTTGCCCCTCACCTGGGGTCCAAAGTCCCGTTTGAGGGAGGGCGGCTCCCCCTGAACTCGTGGACGCACCTCTGGGGCCCTCGGGGCCTCAAAATCCATCCTCTGTCTGTGGCCGCCAGGATGCACTTGCGCCCAACAGGCCTCAAGAACACCCAAGTTGGACCAAAGCCGGCCCACGCCGCTTCCAGGACGCAACAAGAGGGCCCTAAGAGGACCCTTAAAGAGGGCCTGAGGAGGCAGAGGCCATCGATGTCCCATCCTCTGAAACTAATATTCGTGTGACTCGGGCCTCTCCAGGCCCGACTCAGCCCGAGAGACCCCTCATACGGTCCGAGACGGCCCAAGAGAATCCCGAAAATGCTCGGAGATGGCCGGGGCAACCCCAAGACGCCTCCAAGACGGAGTAACGAACGTCAAATGAAGGCCCAAGGGGGGCCCAAGGCAGAAAACCCGCAGAGACCCCGGGAACCCGCCCCCACAAAATGGCCCCCAAGACTGTCAACAGTTATGCCCCCAAGAGGTCCCCGAGAGACCCACGGAACACCCAAAGAGGGCAACAAAAAAACACAGTTTCGGACAAACTCCAATCGGCTTCGCCTCGTGCCTCCAGGAGGTCCTCAACAATCCCGCAGCCAATGCGGAAACAGGCAAGGAAGTACCAGCAGCAACCGCACGCCAGCAAAACGATGAGCACTGGCAAACCACATACGCACACACGCAAGCCATCGGAAGCCGCCCATATCGTCTCCTGGGGGCCGGCGGACTGGCGTAAACGTCACTAACATCTGGAAATTGTCCGCCCATCCGAAGTGCTATTTGCGCCCGAACATATCCACGATCACGCCCCACTCATCACAATTCCGATGCCGGTCTGCACGCGTATATCTGAAAACAGAATCACCGCCACCGACCACAAACGGTCAACCGTCCAACACCTTCGGGCGCGGCTCCTTCGACGAGCGTGTGGATCCGATGGGAATCCGCATGGGAACCCAACTTTTCCTAGACAAGGCTTTATGGTGGCGTAAGGAGCTCTCGGATGGGTTCTGGTTCCAGCCGTTCGCTGTGACTTGCTGTGTTACGTTTGCTCAACAGACTACACGGCGGCATGGTGAAGGGTGGACCAAAGCGAAACAAGAGCGCATCCGACCCCCACGACAACGCGGCGAAATCCCAAGTTCAGCCCCGTAGCGTGAACGACGCTCCCTCTCAAAAGCCGCCCACGCTCGCGGCTCCTCGCCTGGCCTTCCCCGGCGGGGCGGCGGGTGATCACGCAGAGGGCTCTCCCCACCAAGCCGCAGCGTGCTGGGCTCGGTCGGCCACCCCGCGCCACCCCCCGACGACCCTTGTTCCCGACGACTGCGAACGATCCCCCCCCGTCTACGGCGCCCAACGCCCACCCCACCGGTGCGCGTGCGCCACATGGTCGGTGTCGCCGCCATAGGGTCCGTAGCCTCGTCGCGGGTGGCCCTTCTCTCCCCGCCCCTGGCCCCGCTTGCTTGCTTGCAGTTGCTTCCCCTTTTCTTCTTTTTCTTGCCTCCGTCCCTCTCCTTTCCTTCTGCTCCCTGCCTGCTGTCTCCGCTCGGCCCCTCTTCCGACTATCCGCCAACCCCGCCAGCCCTGGCCTCCCGCCTGCGCGTTCGTCGTCGTCTGCCTGCTTCTCCCCTGCTCGTCTTGGTAGTCCCCAAACGTGGTGGTGACAACACCTCGCGGTGAGTCTCGGGCGATTTGGTGTCACCACCCGGTTTGGGGACTCGTGCGGTTTTCCGAAGATGTCCCGAACACTGGTGTGGCCAGGAGTCACAAAACCCGGTGGTGACCCCGTGTCCCCAAACCCAGCGGTGACCTTTTTGGGGGATTCCAGGTCGCCACCTGGTATCTCACCACCCGGTCTGGGGGTTCCCAATCTTCCCTTTCCACCGGGCAACACAGTCTGCCCGGGAACCGGCGTGGCGGCGCGCAGAGCTCCCGAGCAGGGCCTGCTGACTGCACGGGCCTTGGCGCGTGCTCTCGTCGTCAGCGCGATGCTGCTTCCCACAACGGCGCAACGGCTTCCAGAAGCCAGCCTCATAGCGCGAGCGACGCTCCCTCTCAAGAGCAAGGGGACGCCGCTCACACACCACGCCGATCCTGACCATGCCCATCCTGGGCCCAGGGAAAGCACTGACGCCCTCACAATTTGGCCTGAATTACACACACAGAACGTTCCTGGCCAGAGATGAGCGTGGCCGACATCTGCGTGGTCTATAGCTGGCGCCCTCCGTGAGAGGACCGCTGGGCTGGCCTTGCCGCAACCGATCATCGCGCAGGTCACCTCGTCGGCGGAGCCGTCCCAATGCTTCTCGGCCTTCCGCTGCTGCTTCACCTGGCGCGGCGCCGAACATCCGACGATCTGATTTCTCCAATACGCCGTCGGCGCACTGAACCAAAAACCGGCCCGTGCCCTCCTTCCCCGGGGATCGGTACCGCACCGCCGACAGATAGGAACCAGGTTAAGGTCGGGCATGTCCGCCTACAGGCGGCTTGTGAAGGAAAAATTAAAAATAGCCCCAAAATCTTCAAAATCAGGAAAAGGTAATGTATCTCCAGATCAACTGTTGACTGCTTTTGATCCGCCGGCACCCTTGCGGGGCCACCAGGCTGCGAGGGTGAAGATTGCAGCTCCCTGTTCAGTTGCAACTTCCAATTTCCACTGTTACAATCCTGCTGTCTGCCTCCTTGTTGTCAATCCGTGAGGGCTTCGCCCGCTGCCACCAGCCCCCCTCACTTAGAATGGGACTTGCCAGAGCTGTGTTGGGGCTGACGAGAAGCAACGTCGGGACTTCACAAACTGCGGAATATCTCACAACTACGAATATTGCATAATTTACTAGGTGTATGGCTTCGGGGGCGCGAGTATTGCGTAAGTTAGAAAAATGTTTATGGTTTCGGTGACGCGAATCTAGTGTATTTTTCGGGGGGTATGACCTCGAGGACACAGGTATTGTGTACGCTATGAGTCTGTATGGCTTCGGGGACGCGAATATGGCATAATTCCCAAAAAGTTGATGGCCTCGAAGGCACGAACATAATGTATTTTGCAAGGGTTTATGGCCTCGGGGACCGAATATGATGCCACTTACAACAGTTTATTGCCTCGGGGACGTAAGCATTGCGTAATCTACAAAGGGTTGTGGCTTCGGGGACGCGAGTACAATGTAATTTACTAAGGCTTATGGCTTCAGGGGACGCGAATCCTCGGGGACACGAATCTCATGGATTCTTACGTGTCCCACGCCCCCCCAGGAATTCTGAGAACCCTCCCGGGAATGGGAAAGAATCCCGTTTGGGGCTCCCGCCCCTCGCGTGGACAGCAACAGTTCACAGTAAGGAATCAGAAAGCAGGACTGTGACGGTGGAAACTGGAAACTGCCACTGGAGCAAGGAGCTGCCATCTTCACCCTCGCAGCCCGGTGGCCCCGCACTGGGGCCGGCGGATTGCTGCTGTCCGCGCGAGGGTTGGGAGCCCCAAGTGGTAAGTCGGGCGTGTCCCCCTACAGAGGGATTTTCGGCGAAAAATAAGAAAAACAATACCCCCAAAGGTAACAAAAATACAAAAAATAGTCCCCATACTATTTTTGGATTATTTGTTTTTATTATTTTTGGAGTGTTTTAAATTCTTCGTCAACAAATCCCCCTGTAGGGGGACAGGCCCGACTTAAACCTGGGAGGGTTCCCAGAATTCCTGGGGGGAAGGTGGGACACGTAACAACACATGATATTCGCATCCCCGAAGCCATAATCCCTAATAGGTGCGCCACATTCGCGTCCTCGAGGCCATAAAACCCTTCGTGAATTATGCGATATCCGCGTCCCCGAAGCCATAGTCCCTCGTAAATTACAAGATGTTTGCGTCACCGGGGCCACAAACCTTTGTACATTACATTCTATTCGCGTCCCCGAAATCATACAACCTTAAACATATTTGCGCCCCCGAAGCGACAAACCATCGAAAAATATACAATGTCCGTGTCCCTTGTGCATTACACCATACTTGCGTCCCCGCGGCCACACACCCTCGCAAATGATTCCGCACTCGCGTCCCCGAGGCCATAAACCGTTTTTAATTACATAAGAATTGCGCCTCCGAATCCATACATTCTTGTAAATTTCATAATATTTGCGACCCCGAGGCCACAAACCATCGCACAGCATGCGATATTCGCTATATTCGCGTCCCCGAAGCCATAAGCCATCGCAAATTAACTCGTATTCGCGCCACCGAAGCCATACAACCTCGTAACTGAAAGATTGGCCCTCGCGTGAAGTCCCGACATTGCTTCACGTCAGCGTCCAGACATCCCAACACAGCTCTGGCAAGCCCCATCCTAAGAGAAGGGGGGCTGGCGGCAGGGGGCGAAGCCCTTGCGGACCACTCCTCGTGTAGAGGGCATGCCCGACTCAAAACCAGGTCGGAGTCGGGTTTGGCGCAGTCGACGCCAAATCCGGACCGATCGGACCGACGATGTACCAGTGACCCATAAGGAGGTCCAGCTGCAAGGGGGTGGTGCAATATATTTTTGGGGGAATTGTATTGCAAATGTACTGCGCCGGGGAATTTGTATTGCATTATTGTGCAAGAAATGCATTGCACGCGAAACTGCAGCAATACATCTGCGCCCCGGAAGGTATTGTACGCCCCACATGTATCTGGCCATCGCTCGGACGTCCATTCCCTGTGATTTTTGTCGGTTTCGTCCGTGTTTTTTTTTTTCGCCACATGATCAAGGATGCTCCTCGATGGTCCTCGCCGAAGGAAAAATGCACACGTCCGAGCGATGCCAGGGTTTTGCCACCCCACAAATCTACTGCACCAGATCTATTGCGCCACCCCCTTGTCGCTGGACCCCCCTTTTGGGCCAACCCGACGACGGACCCTGCGACGGCCACGGCGGGGTCGTTGCCGCCTCGTCGAAAGATGGGAGCTAGGTCGGGGTCGGGACGGGCGCAGTCGACACTAGAGCCGGACCGAGGAGGCAGGGGAAGGGAGGAGGGAGGAGGGAGGAGGGAGGAGGAGCCAGGAGGAGGAGCCAGGAGAAGCGAGGAGGAGGAGGAGGGAGGGAGGAGGCAGGAGGAGGAGGCAGGAGAAGCGAGGAGGGAGGAGGCAGGAGGAGGAGGAGGCAGGAGGAGGAGGCAGGGAAAGCGAGGAGGGAAGAGGGAGGGAGCAGGGAGGCAGGAGGAGGAGCCAGGGGAGGCGAAGAGGGAGGAGGCAGGAGGAGGAGCCAGGAGGAGGAGCCAGGGGAAGCGAGGAGGGAGGGGGGAGGGAGGGAGGAGGCAGGAGGAGGAGGAGGAGGCAGGGGAAGCGAGAGTGGAGGAGGGAGGAAGGAGGAGGCAGGAGGAGGAGCCAGGGGAGGCGAGGAGGGAGGAGGGAGGGTAGGGAGGGGGCAGGGAGGGAGGAGGCAGGGGGAAGGGGAGGTGGACCCCGCGACGGCCAGGGGCGCGGGGGAGGCCTGGAGCGGGTACGAGACCGCGCCCGAGGACGTGTTCTCGGGCACCAGGCGGGCCGGCGCCGGCCGCGCCCCGCGCGAGCCACCGCCTTGAGGGGTCGGGGAGGAGGGCGTCTGCTTGGCTGTGTGTGTTTGGACTCCGACGACGACGACGACGACGACGACGACGACGACGACGACGACGACTCCTGGCGAGAGTTGCTGAACATCCGCGGCCCACGACGTGCTTCAGGCTTCCCCGCGTGCTGGTCGGAGGCGCAGGCGACAGACAGATACCCGGCGCTTAGTGGGCCCTGGAAACGACAGGGCCGTTTTTTTACCGGTTCCGTTTTGCCGTTTTCCTGCCTGTTCCGACGCCGTTTTTTTACCGGTTCCGTCGCCGTTTTTTGACCGGTTCCGGCTCCGGGTCCGATCTTGGAGCCGTTTTTTTTGCCGTTTCCGGTCGCCGTTTTTTTTGCCGCTTCCATTTCCAAAGGACACTTTTTCGGAAACAGTGAAAAAACGGCCCTGCCCACTAAGGCCCAGCGTGCCCGCGCCGCGGGCATGGCCGAGACAGAACGCACAAGCGCAGCGAGGCCCCAGGATTCCGCATCGCAGGCCAGGCGAACGTCGCCGCCGCAATCGATCGGGAAGGTATCCAACCTACCAGGCGGGGGACGCGGGGGGGGCAACCAAGCCGCCGCTGAGGCAGCCAAGGGCCGCTCAAAGCACAACCACAGGCACTGACCTGCGCGGCGATGAGCAACGTCAATGGACTCTGCTGTGGGGATGGGGCACCACGCGAAACCAATGCGGCGCAGCGGACTCGTAGAATGGGCCGCTCGGAACCATATTTCGGTGCCGCCACGCTGCATTGTTACACATACACACATGGAGCTCTGGGGAACAGCTCCAAAAAACGAAGGGCCCGAACGACCGGGCCGCGGCGGGGCCTGCAAGCACGCGGGCCCGCGTCCTGCGCACGATGGCGACGCGACGGCTGGCGCGAAGATGCCCTGGGCCACCTGGGCGGTGCCCTTGTCGACATCCCCGCCGAGGTCAAGAGGGCGCAGGGGAAAGTACAGCGTGCACGAATCGGACTTTCTGGAGGCACTCTTGCCCCTCCTGTCCTCCCTGGCCGCTTTGTGCTGCCCCAGGGCCTCGGTCTTTTCTCTTGCGCTCTTCTGGCTCCCCGCTTCCCAAGGCAACATGAGCTGCGTCATGCAAGGGGCGCGTTGCCTGGCGCATGCGCATGAGGCGCGTTAGCTCTGGGTGGATCCCGTCGCGAAAAAACGCTCGCGGCCGCAGTGGGCGCAAAGCTTCGCCGTCCGGGTGCGTGCGCTCGTTGTTTCCCAAGATTCCGTTGAGAATGCGACGTGGACGTTGCCGCCTGCAATCCCCCCACGGCACAGGGGAGGAATAGACGTGAGAGAGGGGGTTGCAAAGACGAGGACGGAGAAGGAACAGCAAGAGGAGGAGCAATAGGAGTAAGAGGCAGCATGAGCGATCAGCAAGGGGAGGAGGCGATGGAGGAGGAGGAGGAGGAGGATCAGGACGAGGAGCAGGAGTGAGGAGGAACAGGAGGAGTGAGGAGGAACATGGGGGAGCATAGTGAGATCCATGGGAACCCTCTTCTCGACGAGCTGCACTGGCAGGCAGGAAGGTCCGAACGGCCTTGGGGCGTTGCGGCATCTTCGAAAAGATGGTTCGACAGGGGAGCGGGGCCCCAACGCGTTCGTGCATGCCGTGGACGTTTTGGTTTGAAGCGGCTTGTGAGCAATTGAAGCGGGGAGGAGGAGGAGAAGGAGGAGGAGGAGGAGGGGGAGGAGGAGGAGGAGGAGGAGGAGGCAGGGGATGGGAGGGGGAGGGAGAGAGGGAGGAGGCAGGGGAGTGGAGGGGGGAGGGAGGAGGAGGAGGAGGCAGGAGTGGGAAGTTGGAAGAGTGAGAAAGAAGCGGAGGCAGACCTCTCCGTGCACTGCTGCTCGGAAGAGGCTGAACGCAGCAAGATCGCCCCAGTTGAGCACTTCGGGGGTCGTGCTTGTTTCCCTAAAAAAATTGGCGCGGTCCAGCGAGGTTTTTCCGCGCTGCCGCCCGTGCGCCGGGTGGGTCCAGCGAGGTTTCGCCACGCGTCCGCCCGTGGCCGCCTCGTGCGCCGGGTGGGTCTGGCGAGGGCTCGCCACGCGGCCGCCTCTAGCTGCTTGCGCAACGTGTGCTGCACCCACATCCGACACCACGTAGCGCGCACACTCACAGTGGAACAGCTTACTCTTTGGGGTCCACGCTCCACGCTGGCGAACAGGTGCTCACTGCACTTCTCCTCCTCATGTGAACAGAAGACGAGGCCAGGACGAGCCAAAGTTCGAGTGAGGATAAATCGAGTCTCCGAGATCCGGCGGCTCTGGAGGATGTCTCGGCCGCCGCGGCCCTCTCAGAGCGTTCCGGGACGCTCTGAGAGCGTTCCGGAATCTCTGGAACGGATTGATCCTCGTCCTAGCCACGTCCAAGAGCATGCTGCTTCTTAGGAGACGCGCGCCTTCCACCCGCAGACAGGGCCCGCGCCTCCTGAGAAGCAGGGGTGCTTCTGAGAAGCCTCTCCCCTCCCCCTGCTCCCTCTGCGCGTGGCAGACAAGCCCTGTATTTCTCTTTCTCTCTCTCACTCTCTCTCTCTCTCTCTCTCTCTCTCTTTCTTCAGATGCCTCCTAAAGGGGGGCCGAGAAAATGGGGTCGGAGGATCGCGCCGCATCGCCTTCGCATCGGCGATACATCGCCGATGCGTCGGCTATGGCGACTTCGGCAGTGCCATCCGCGCCGCCTGCGTGGAGCAAACTGGGCCACACATCGAGCCGCATCGCCGATGCATCGGCGATGCGTCGCGATCCTCCGACCCCACCAACTGTAACCCCGTCTGGGCGGCCCACAGTCGGGGACCGACCACACGAAACCTTCTACAAGAAACCCAACCCTGAGACCCCAGGACGTCCATCGATTTCTCTGGCGGGGGGGACGTCGCGCTCTCCATAGCATAACCATCGAAACCCCAGAAACCCAGGGCACCCTGGAGGCGACCAGGGCGTCTCTTGGCACGGGCCTCCACTGTGCACCTCTTCTCCATCATTTTTTCTTCCGATCTCTGAGGCCGCCGCCGCTATCGGCGCGCGTGCAACCAAGGGGGGCTGCGCGCAGGGGCGCCCGGCCCACGCGTCCGGGGGCGCCGAAGGCGGCCCGGCCAGCGCGCCGACGCTCGCGGACAGGCGCCGCTCGACGGACCCGAGGCGCTTCTGCAGCCTCTCGGCGGCGAGCGAGGGAGGGGTGAGAAGGACAACGGGGGGCGCCCAGACCTCCAACGTCTCGAGGGGGAGGGGGAGGAGGAGGAGGACGAGAAGGAGGAGGAGGAGGACGAGGAGGAGGAGGAGGAGGAGGAGGAGAAGGAGAAGGAGGAGGAGGAGGAGAGGAGGAGGAGGAGGAGGAGGAGAGGAGGAGGAGGAGAGGAGGAGGAGGAGGAGGAGAGGAGGAAGAGGAGGAGGAGGAGGAGAAGGAGGAGGAGGAGGAGGAGGAGGACGAGGAGGACAAGGAGGAGGAGGAGGAGGAGGAGAGGGAGGAGGAGGAGGAGGAGCGAACGAACCCCTGGGAGAGGCGCGTCGATCTATAATGAGCGCGCACCGCCGTGCGCGCACGGGCCCAGCCTCAGGGCGAGGCGAGAGGCCTGCATGTAGTTCTTGTGGATGTGGTACGCGATGTCGCCGCTGCCGTCGATCTTGATCGAGTGGTAAAAGCTGTAGACCACGGCGAGACGGATGAGCACGTGGTCAATCTCGTCGTCATCGGCCCCGTTCGGGTCGAAATTGGCGTTGTGCAGGCCAAGCCTGGCAAGTACGCATCTATGAAGTCGTCCACGAGGCAGTGCAGCGTGGTGCCACAAGCGCTTGCAGACAAAATAGTGGCTGAAAGAGTCGGGGTGGAACTTTGGGTTGCAGCCAAGAACACAACCTCGAAGGATAGGCTGTACGTGCATGCGGTAAGACGTGGCCCACCCGCCCGATAGCGTCTTCATCACAGGCCAGAAGCGCGAGGGCGGCAGCTCGGCGATCTTCGGGCGGAGGCGGCTCCACGCGGTCTTCACGTTGAACGGTAACTGGATGAGGGAGGTCATGTCGTTGTCGTCTGCGTACGCGTTGGTGAGGTCGTCGGTGATCACGGGCGTGGAATCCGAGTCGTTGTTCTGGAAGTCGGCGTCGTGGATCCAGCGACGCCGAGCATGGTGTTCGGCAGCTGCACGATCGAATCTCTGCTGTAATTCGGCGGTGCGGGGGAGATTGAACGCAGCGGTGGTCTGGAGTCTGGATGCCGCGGTTGACTGCCATGCCTGCGTGCAAATACGTTCAGCGCGCCGACGGAGTTGAGCATCTGTTTGGCCACGAAAGAGGACTTGAAGACCGCCACGACGGAGATGACGAAGAATAAAGGTTTCGCACCATTCATGCCAGTCGTCGACGTCCCATTCCTGAAGTGGTTGAGCGAGGTAAATCGAGGGAAGCCAGTCGGAGGCCCAATGCTGCAGGCATTCAGCGATGGTCTCGAGCTCGTTGGCTGCGTTTCGCATGTCGTGGTCATCGTCATCAGGCGTATTAGGAACTTGTAGATGAAGTGGTGGGAATCGTTGGAGGCGTCCTGAGTCGGAAACGGTAGCAGACGGCGCCGACGGGAGGGTGGGTAACCAGGCCCGAAGGCGGGCGGCGATGGTGGAGTCGAAAGAATCTTCGTAGAGCGAGCGCTGAAGCGTGATCATGTATGTGGTTTGCGGTGATTTCTTTGGAGGATCATCATCAGCACGGCGAAGTTTGTCCAGGACGCGAAGAGCAGCGTCACGGGCGAGTTCATGAGCTTGGCGCAGCTGACGGTGAGCCAGATGATCGTGATGGCGGCTGCGCTTGATGATCTTGGAGATGGTGCCCTTGTGGGTGGAGTAGTTGTCGCCGAACTTGGCCGCCCGCAGGTGCTGCGCGATCGAGGTAGCGGAGGCCCAGCACGGCGCGGTCCAAAATCCCTGGACAACTCGGACGAGTGGAAGCTGATCAAGTGCTGCCAGATGGTGTAGTTCGAGAAGCTAGGGCCAGGCGTTGATGGTGGAAGTAGCAGAGCGCCACAGCGTGGCAGCAAGCAGGACTTCGACACCAGTGGGGATGGCGCAGCCCGCCCAGTTCGTCATGCCGAGGATGTCGAGCTTGGTGAATGCTGACGGAGCAGATCTGAGAACTTTATGAGGGGCATGCATTTCTTTGGAAAGAACGAGTTCTGGAGCTGGAAAGAGTTGTCCGACATAGGTGAGACAAGTGATCGCGGAGGTGTTGTACAGCGAAACGTTCAGCTGGATGGCCGCGGAGGCATCGCCCAATATCTGGGCACGGTGGTACCACTTGGCCGCAGGGGCGGCCCATTGAGCACGACCGTCAGCACACGGACCGATGTAGACTCCGAGGTACTTGGCCTTGCCGTCGATCTTGAACTGGGCCCAGGCGGGGCTGATCGCCCTGAGCGCGTCGCGCATGGTGGTGTCAACGTCTTCGAAGCAGTTGGTCCAGACTGGGACGAGCACGCACTTTCGAGGTTGGAGCAACAGCCCCGCGAAAGAGTGGGCCGCCTCGGTATGCGGTAGGATGCCTTGCATGTCACGCATGTGTGCTAAGACGCAACCAGTGTCGTCGGCGCAAACACTGGCCATGCCACGGCCAATCTGATGAAAGTGGTGTTGAATTCCGCGTAGGATGGGGTCGAACACCAGGGCCCAGATGGTGCCACTGAGTGGGCAGCCCTGAGCTACTCCGCTGGCTGCAACGAGTAATGGTCGACGTGTGCCCCCCAGCCCGAGGAAGGCGATGGGCGAGGCGTAGAAGGACTGGAGGAGGCGACGGACGCGGCCATCAATCCCCCATCTGCGAATCACTTCCCATAACCAAGTGTGAAGCAAGCTTGGGAAGGCGGCGGCGATGTCCATGCTGAGGAAGCACGGCATGTGCTCGGCGGCGTTGTCCATGGTGCTGTAGATGCGGCTGTACGTGTCGGCTTCGACTATGTTGTTGAGGCATTGGCGGCCAGGTACGAGACCTCGTTGGGTACTCGGCACTTGCTTGACTATCGGATGTAGCTTGCGGTTGATGGCGGAGGCAGCAATCTTTACGTCGGTGTTCTTCATCGCGAGAGGTCGGAGTTGGTCTGGCGACCGATAGCATTCAGCATGCCCTGCAGGCGCATCACCTTTTGTTAGCATGGCTAGTAGAGCGTGGTTCCAATCGTGCGGGATGATGCTGTTGGCCGAGATGTTAGCCACGAGCTCTTCCAGGATCTCGAAACTGTTGGGGGTGGAAGTCCAAGCTTTGTAAGGAAGACCGTCTGGACCTGCGGCGGAGTCATGTGCTCGTTTTGCTGCTTCTTGAAGCTCTTCAGCATTGGGGAGTTCCAGCGCAACATAGTCACGCTGGGCGAAGACAGAGTCCAGGTAGGCGTTCATGTTGGCAGTGTTTACTGGCTTGTCAGCGAAGATCGGGCCCCATGGCGCTAGTATGGCGTCGTGCATGTCCGACGGTGTCGTGGCGATGCCTGAGGAGTTGCCATGCGAAATTCGGATGCCAGCGAGCACCAGACGCTTGGAGAAGGGCTTCCACAGCTCTCCAAGTCTGCGTGTGGCACTGGCCCGTTTCCGCCACCTGTCCCCTTGCTGACGTTGTAGACGTTGGTAAGCATCGCGGGTACGTGCGGCAGCGAGGGCACGGCGTTCTGCAGCGACAGCAGCGTGAGCTTCAGCAGCGGCATCGGCGAAGGCGTTGGCGTTGATAAGGCAAACCTTGCTCGAAGGGATGTTGGTAGAGTTGCCGATGATGATCTGCAAGTGCTTGGGGCCCAGGTGGGTGGCGTCGATAAGGAGGCGCGCGAGCTTGATGTCCTGGAACCAGACCGCGCGAGAGATGCTTCTCATGGTCATCGAGTTGACTTCCTTGGAGATCGAGAGATGGTCGCGTGCAAGGACTTCGGGCGGTAGCCGCGCAAGAGCATCTCGCGTGGCTTTCGCAGCGTTCGTCATGTTGGATTTCAGCGTGCGCCACTTGATGATGGGCGTGAACGTGTCGTACTCGGTGTCGGCGGAGAGCTTGTCGATGTAGAACTTGTAGAAGTCGGAATTGAAGAGGTAGGCGGGGATGCCTCGTTCAGCATGGGGCCGTTGAATTCGGGTGCGAAATCGAACTTGAAGAAGTTTATGGTCAATGGCAGGTATTCCTTTTCGTTCGGGTGGCGAGTCGTCGGCCACCGTGATCGTCTCAATATGGGTGAGATTATGTGCCTGGAAGGAGGTGAAGAAGCGATCGATGCTAGACTCAGTGTTGTTCGCGTAGCAGCGGTGGGTGGTGGATGGCGTGCAGATCTCGACCAGTGGTCGGAAGAGCTGCTTCCAGAAGGTGGGCTGGAACTGGTATCGTTCGTGAGCTGGCACTTCGACAGGGCGTAGGAGATTGCGAGCAGGTAGTTCAGAGATATTGAAGCCGCCGAGCATGAAGAAAATCACGTGTTCAGGATCGCTGTTTGCTTCATTCAGTGCCGCTTGCCACGTGGCCTTGAGCCGTCTTCGGTCATCAGCGGAGAGATCATGGTTATGAATGTTGAAGTATATATGGAGGTACTTCAGGCTGGGGTCGCGGATTCGCAGTTCGGCGACTCGGCCAGGGATGACCGCGGAGAAGTTGATCATCGGCTTGGTGTAGTCCTGGTCGCTGCTGGGGAAGAACTTTGGGATGAGGAAGGCGACGCCGCCCGCCGCATTGGAGTCGGGGATGCCGCTGTGGTAGACGTCGTACTTTGCGCCCGTGGAGTTGATGAGGCTGCGAATCATCTGCGAGGTGCCGTGAGTCTCCTGAATGGCAATGAGGGATCGCTTGGCGAGGTAGGGCTTGAGGATGGAGAGTTTGGCGTCGCGCTTGACGATGTTCGAGTGCACCAGCGCCTGAGCGTTCCAGCTGACCACCGAGCACTCAGTCATAGATGACGTGGTGGTCGCGCTCCATGGAGTCCATTTGCTGTTAAATCCACGACACTGATGTGGTTGCATCCGCAAAGGCAGCGGCAAGGGCGTCGGCGCACGAAGATCGCATCGCAGAGGTAGGGCCGACACCATCAGCAGCATCAGACCATTGAATCTTGGTCGCCATCTCAGGGCGGGAGCCCACTTGGATGCGGACGATGGGCACATTGTCGATGGAGAGGTAGCCATCGGCGCGGTGGATCTTGGGGTTGAGGTCCTGCTTGGCGTTGTTGATGATCCTTGCCAGCTTCTTGAGCTGGATCTCCTGCCTGACGAGCTTGGGGCTCTTGTCTGCGCTGACGTAGCATGGGGCACCGCCGATCGTGAAAGTACGCCATTCCCGACCAATGCGCAGATGATGGTGAAGAGCTTGAGCACGTGGTACGGCGACGGCATCGGCTCCGAGTACAGTGATGGAGACCCGCTTGGCAGGAGCGGAGTTGTTGTAGCGAACCGTAGACACGTCGATATTGGCTGCCGAAAACCATTCGGCGATGGCCGACTTGAGAGATGCCTGAGTGATGTCCACAGTGGAGGCGATCCAAAAGGTGCCGATGTGTGGCGCCCTGTCCCACGAGCCGGTGTTGCTGACGTCGAGCGATGGAACTTGGGCTTCAGCATGAACAATGGCAGTCTTGATCTTGTCCACCGCGTCGTTGAGGTTCTTGGACTCCACTTCAGAGGCGGAGATGCGCTGCTTGAGGGAGACGATGTCGTTCTCGACGTGGTCTTGGCGTTCGGTGAGCTTGGAAGTGATGTTAGTGATGTGCGTGATGAAGCTGGCTTGAGACGAAGCGGCAACTTTCTCTGCGGTAGCCTTGAATTGTTCAGCCGCGTTAGCAACTTGAATGGCCAGGTGTTTCTCGATCTCGGAGCGGAATAGTTCAAGTCTTTCCTTTTGTGCAGCATCTTGCCAGGGGTCTTTGTTGTTACGAGGGCTTCGTTCGCGACGATCACGAATGGTGGCGAGGTCGCTCGTCTCGGGCATGTTGCGAGCACGCCGTAGACCACTGGGTCTGGATTCTCGAACGCCAATATGGAGGTGGCCGCGGCACCACAAACAATCAATCCCGCGTGAATATGTAAGGAGAGCAAAAAAGCAATCCTGAGCTGGCCCTGGAACAAGGGTATGCCATGAAAGCCTCTTGGCGCTATGCCAAGCAACATTGGGACCCTGAGCCAAAATGGCTACGGAGGAGGAGGAGGAGGAGGAGGGGGAGGAGAGTGAGGATGAGGATGAGGATGAGGATGAGGAGGATGAGGAGGATGAGGAGGAGGAGGAGGAGGAGGAGGAGGAGGAGGAGGAGGAGGAGGAGGAGGAGGAGGAGGAGAGGGAGGAGGAGGAGGAGGAGGAGGAGGAGGAGGAGGAGGAGGAGGAGGAGGAGGAGGAGGAGGGTGGGGGTGGTATCTTTGTGTAGGTGGCTTGTGTGTGTGTGTGTGTTCTTGTGTGTGTGTGTGTGTCTCCAGCTTTCTCATTGCCTTTCTCGTTTCCTGTATCCTTCGGTATTTCCCATTATCATTCTCTCTCTCTCTCTTTCTCTCTCTCCCTCTCTCTCTCTCTCTTGCATGCTCAAGGCGTAATCGTGCGCACACACTATTACTTCATGTATTTACAGATTTTAGTAATATTATTTGGGATTCTGTGTGAGAGCAATGCGTGCGAGGAAAAAAAAAACAGCGGCGCCACAAATGCGCGAGAAGTGTGAGAACATATGGGAAGCGCATTAGAAACGCTTGGAGGCGTAAGCGTGCGAACACATCATTACTTCATGTAGTTTTGGTTTTTCATTCAGATTCTTTGGGGTTCTGTGTGAAAACACGAAATGCCAGAAAAAACAGCGACGCCACAGATGCGCCAGAAGTGTGGAAACCTGTGGGAAACGCATTAGAACCGCTTCAAGGCGTTAGCGCGCGCACAAATTATTATTGCATGTATTTATGGATGTTTTATCAGATTCCCTTGGGTTCGATGTGAAAACATTAAAAATCAATGAACACGATGTGTTTTTCAATATTATTGTTCAAAAGTCAATGAAAACGATTTGTTTTCCAATCTTTTTAATCGAAAATCAATAAAAAACGCTGTGTTTTCCAATAATTCCAATTCTTTCCAAACTTTTCCAATAACAACGCTGTGTTTTCCAATTTTCCAATGTTTTTTCAAGGTTTCGGGTACGGCACCGCTGTGTTTTCCAGATTTTCATTAAAAAATCAATAAAAACTATGCGTTTTCCAATTATTTCAATGAAAAATCAATAAACACGCTGTGTTTTCCAATCTTTTTAATCGAACATAAATAAAAAACGCTGTGTTTTCCATTTTTTATTAAAAACTCAATAAAAACGCTATGTTTTCAAATTAGTTTAATGAAAAATCAATAAAAACGCTGTGTTTTCCAAATTTTTCATTTAAAACTAAATAGAAACGCTATGTTTTCAAATTATTTTAATGAAAAATGAATAAAAACGCTGTGTTTTCCAAATTTTCAATAATTCCAATTATTTTAATGAAAAATCAATTAAAAAAAAAACGCTGTGTTTTCCAATAATTCCAATTATTTCCAATATTTTCAAATAAAAGCGCTGTGTTTTCCAATTTTCCAGAATGTTTTTCAAGGTTTCGGGTACGGCAACGGGGCGACGCGCCATCCTTGCTGGCAAACCTTGACAAATATTTGAAAATTGGAAAACACAAGGTTTTCATTAGAAAATATTGGAAATAATTGGAATTATTGGAAAACGCAATGTTTTCATTAATGCTTGTTCAAACAGATGGTAAAACACAGCTTTTTTTTTTTTTTTTTTTTTTTTTTTTTTTTTTTTTTTTTTTTTTTTTTTTTTTTTTTTATTATATATATATATATATATATATATATATATTTATATATATATTATATTATATATTGATTTTGCATTAAAAGAATTGGAAAACACATCGTTTTTTTTTTTTTTTTTTTTTTTTTTTTTTTTTTTTTTTTTTTTTTTTAAAAAAAAAAAAAAAAAAAAAAAAAAATATCGTTTTTTTTTAAATTAATTTTTGTTGAAAAGGATTGGAAAACACAGGTGTTTGTTGATTTTTCATTAAAATAATTGGAAAACACAGCGTTTTTATTGATTTTTGCTGAAAAAGATTAGAAAACACAGCGTGTTTATTGATTCTTCATTAAAATAATTGGAAACACAGCGTTTTATTTAGTTTTAAATGAAAAATTTGGAAAACACAGCTTTTTTATTGATTTTTCATTAAAATAATTGAAAACATCGTTTTTATTTAGTTTTTACACAGCGTTTTTATTGATTCGTTAAAAAGATTGGATTGTTTTTTGATTTTTCATTGAAAAATTGGAAAACGCGTTTTTATTGATTTTTAAATAAAAAACTGGAAAACACAGCGTTGCCGTACCCGAAACCTTGAAAAACATTGGAAAATTGGAAAACACAGCGTTTTTATTGGAAAATATTGGAAATAATTGGAATTATTGGAAAACACAGCGTTTTTATTGATTTCAATAGAATCTTCTGGATGCGGAATCCATCCCATTTCTATTGAATTCCAATTGGAATCTAATTAGAATCCAAATAGAAATCCTCTGGACCTGGGACCCGTTCTCTTTCGATTGAAATCCTATTGAAATCTCATTGGATTTCAATAGAATCTTCTGGATGCGGAATCCATCCCATTTCTATTGAAATCCAATTGGAATCTAATTAGAATCCAAATAGAAATCCTCTGGATCTGGGCTCCGCTCTCCTTTCATTGAAATCCAATCAAAAGCAAACGAAAAACTAATACAGACAGAAAGAACGAGAGGGAGAGAGAGAGAGAGAGAGAGAGAGAGAGGGAGACAGCAGAGGGAAATTAGAAACCAGGAAACACACACAAGCCACCTACACAAAGATACCACCCTTACGGAGGAGGAGGAGGAGGAGGGGGAGGGGGAGGAGGAGAGGGAGGAGGAGGAGGAGGATAACATGGGATAATTACCGAGACCTCCAACGCAAATTTCAGATTGTGTTCGGCCTCCAGGGGGCCTCGCCGGGCCCTGGGGCCGTCAAAAACGGCTCGGGGTGATGGGGCAGGCCCCAGGGAGAAAGTCCAGACCTCAGGGGACCCCGCCTTGGGAAACTCACGACGTCGGATGTCTGGCCATTTCGCTCCCTTCAGTGGGCCCTGGGAACGACAAGGCGTGTTTTTACTGGCTCCGTTTTGCCATTTTTGTTGCTTGTTCCGACGCCATTGTTCTGCCCGTTCGTCGCCGGTTTTGTTGCCGGTTCCAATTCCTGTTCCAATCCTAGATCCGTTTTTGTTGCCGTTTGCGGTCGCTGTTCGTTTGCCGTTTCCATGTGTAAGGGGCACTTCCTCGAAAACTGTAAACCCTGCCGTTTCCGCGGCCCACTAAGGGACCCCTATCCCACGTCTCGTTGGGTTTTCGAAGGACCAAGAATTTGGGGCGCCCAGCCCCAGGATGCGCGACGGGAGGGCGTCTATCCTCGATATGGGGTGCGTCCGAATAGCCCCTTTGAGGTATCCCAGGGTTCCCCTCCTCTTCTGAGCGGCTCATCTTTCGTCGAAAAGTCGGTGGTTGGTGGAGAAAATTCGCCTGCGAATGGAGGAGGCCCTCTAAGATTGTGGCGGGGCTTCTCACAAGCCCTCGGGCCTTCTGAGAAGTTGTCTGCGTCTTCGGGGGAGGCTTGGAACACTTCCTTTTATATTTGTTTGTTTTTTCGTTGATTTTTTTGGGGGGCTTGGAGCATTTCTCGGAAGGCTGGAGGACTTCCGAGCGTTCTGAGAAGGCCCGCCCCCTCTCACTTCCCCCCAGGCGTGGAGCCGAGCCTCATGATGCCCCGCTCCTGGATGTCATCCGTGCTGCAGACCCTCTCCTGCGAGGTCATCGGAAGCGCCCTCAGAAGTAGGAGCAAGGAAAGGCGACACCAACACAAACAGGGCGAGGAGATGCGAGGAGGCAAGGGGGAACTCCCTGGTGGTGTGGCTGCCCCCTCTCGCTCGATACATCCCTAGCCTCCAGGTCGGAAAGGCCTCGAGGACCTCCTCGCTGGCGGTGGGCCCCCTGGTGGTGCTGGTATCGCTTCTCCTCCCTCCGAGAAGCAGCACCCCAGACGAGCGAAGCCCTGAGCAGGCGCAGCCGAGCGAGGAACCGAACAGGGCAGGACTGCTGGACTGCTCCGCAGAAGTCCGGGGCTGCTTCGGGATCTTGGGCTATGGGGGACGGGGTGCATTTTCCTCCCTTGGTCTCCAATTTGCTGATGAACTCTGTCGTGCTGATCTCGTGGTCGCCGTTCTCCTCCCGCTCCACGAGCTCGAAGAGTCCCTTCAGATCGAGCACGCTGAGTCCGGCGGTCTCGAAGAGGAGCTCCTTGAACTCCCGTTTTCGCAGGAGCTTGCTGAACTCCTTCCTGGTCACCCTCTCTCTGCCGCCGAACAGCTCCTGCATCAACTGTTTCTGCTTCATGTTCTGCATGAGATGGGCATCCAGCTCCTCCTTGCGCTGTTTCTCCTGGAAGTTGTCCAACATGTTTTCGCTGACCACGGCGGTCAGGATGGGTAGCATGGCGAGGGAGGACAGGACCATGTACGCCATGATGGACGGCTTCAGGGCAGGCACGCAATCCTCCTGAAGGATGTCCTCAAACATGGCCAGGTGCCCGTTCATCAGCTGGAAGAGGATGTACATGGACTCGAGTATCCCAGGGAAGACGTCATGTATTTCATCGGGGCACCGCAGTCCGATGATCATGTTGTCCCTGAACAGCTTGACGGCTAGGAGGCTGAAGGCATATAGAATGACAAGGGTCAGCACGAACACCCATATCATGCTTGACATCGCTTTCAATATGCCTGTCAACAGGAGGTAGAGCTGCGGAATGTTCTTGATCAACTTAACCAGGCGCAGTATTCGCAACAACCTCAGAATCCTCAACAACGACATGATCTTGCCAGGACCACCAGATACTGGCGGCATGCCAAGAAACACTGTCACCACGGATATTGCAGGAGAGATCCACTGGTCCAAAATCCCAGACAAGACGATGATTGTGTCAAGAACGTTCCATGTCAATTCTGCCCAATTGACGCCGCCCTCAGAGCTGTGCCTGCAAGGACAACACCAATACACGCATCGCCTCTTCCCGGATTTCTCCTGGAGAGCTACTTGATCAGGCTTCCGAGGCGAATCCAGCCGAAGCGACGATGGCACCCCCCAGGCGGCACGAACAAACTCGAAAGCGAGAGAAAAACTGAATGCTCTTTCTTCGGGGATCTTCTGACCCGGGTCAATCCAGACCCGGGTCAGCAGGATACCAAAAACTGCAATGCAAAAACAAAAACTGCAACACAGGTCTTCGCAAACCCGGGTCAGCCAATACGCGCGGCCGCCTCGCGGCCACGAGCGGCTCGCTAACCCCGGTCAGCCAGAGGGGGTCTTCGCAGGATCCTGCAGGATCTGGCGCCCTGGCTGACCCCCGTTTGCATTGACCCCCGTCTCGAGGCTCCCGATTTCTCATGTGCTTGCCGGTCTCCGGCTTGCACGTCCGAATCGGCGTCGCGCGCGTCATCGGTCAGCTCGATACGCCGAGGCCACAGGAAGCTCCAGCCGCTCTGCTTCACTCTCGCCACAAGCTCGAAGGTAAAAATCAGAAGAACAGCGTTCTCCCAATACGGCCACAAGAAAAAATCTGGGTAATCGACTTCGAAACTCATCATCACACTGCTTGCAAAAATGAAAACCATGATGACCGTCTGAAAGGCTTCGCTGTCAGTCCACGACAAATCAGTTCGTGCGACCAAGAAGACAAACAATGGCAGCACTCTCGTTAACCTCAAGAGGCGCAATACTTTGAACACTTGGACGTCAGCCTGAGGAAAGAACAACGTGCCAACCACATCGATGGTCGAACATACTATCACCGTGACGTCCAACCAATTTTGGCACACTGCTACACCTCTCAAGGAGTCCCACAGTAGCTTCCGCCGCCACAGCACTCCCTTCAAAACTAACTCTAAGTCTGCCCACCCCGTCCTGCTTCGGATGAGAAGGCGTGCGAGATGACTGAATGCCCCATTCTCTCTGCCCCCCCGAGCCATATCGGAAGCACATTGGGCGAGCTTGGAGGCCTCTTGGTCCATACTGGGCCGTCTTGGAAGCCAATCTCGGACCGCCTTGTGGTGCCGTGGAAGCTATCTTGGGCCTTGCTGGCCATGTGGGATGCAAATTCTCGTTATGTCGCGCTTCTTTCGCGTGTCCGGCGAGACGGGCTCCTCAATATCCTGTCCGAGGGGTGGCGAGCTCGCCAACGCACCTGGCGAACCAGATCGCATCTTCAAAACTGCTCACGGTTCCCGACGTTCTCCCGAACTAGCTGCAGCATGGCTAAAGATACCCGAAGTTGGCTCCAGAATGGCCTCAAGAGGCCGTCAGCTGGCGCCAAAAGGGTCCCAGGAGGCCACCGGAGGCTCCACGATAGCTTTGCGGAGCGCCCCCAAGAGTTACACATCATTCAAGCCGTATGAACGTCATATTCCCAACCCCGCTGCGCTGCGTTTTGGCTCCCGTTTTGAAAAGAGCACTGCAGCCTCCAGTCTTTTCTGAAACCAACTTGGTCCTTTTTGTCAGCGTCTTGCCTCTTCGTCGCCAGGGCGATTTGACAGTGTAATTCCATCTTTTCGTTTCAACATGGTCCCACGGTGCTCTCCAGAGGTCTCAAAAAGAAATTCCAACAGGCCCTCCACAGACCCGACGACGGCCAACATTGCCTCCAAGATGTCCGTAATGCAGCCCCAGCAACCCGGAACTGCCCTCGAAGACGACTCCAAAGACGGCTCCAGTACGACCTCAACGCTCCTCCGACTAGGCCCAAGACTCTCGAATACCGCTCTAGAACCCGACAAGGGAAACCAAACTCGCCTCAATAGGCCCTAGTTGGGCTCCAAGAAAACCGAGGACGGATCCAAAAGGCCACAAGAGAGCACCAGGAGCGCGGAACGCTCACCGCGAGGTACTGAGTGGACTGTCCTCAAGTACCTTCGGGTTCTCTCCTTCTGGGGTCATTGGTGCACTTGAAAAGGGGTATGATCCGAGATCTTGGAGTCTCTGGGCGCCTTCCTGACGCTCCTGGGGTGCGTGGCATGGCTCTTCATAGGGGGAAACAAACCTACCTCGCTTTTGACCACCCTCGCTTCCAAGGGATACCAAACGATGCAAAATTGCAGCCTGTACTGGTCAGGCCGCTTGACGAGGAGGCGCGTGGTATGGCTTGGTTTTGCCTGGAAGCGAAAGCGGGGTAGGTAATTCACGAGGCCTCGTGTGCCAAGCTGGGAGTGCAGGCTGCCCGTGCGTCGTGAGACCTTCCCGCGGGGGGACCGTCCTGGAGCCCTGCTGGGGCCCGCTGGGCCGCCTTGGAGGCCCTGGAGGTCGGCGGCCCACGAGGCCGAAACCCTTGAGACACGCGCTTCACTGGAGCGCTTTTGCAGCACTCGCCCTTTCCGCTGGACACATTTCAGCACCGAAACGCCGCAAATAGCAAACTTCAGCACCGAAACGCCGCAGGACCGCTGCTTTCACATCTCGCGCGCGAGAAAACCCAGCGCCAGGGGGGTGCCCGGGCCCAGGAAACCCACCGCCACCTGCCTGGGTGCACCGAGGAAACCCAGCTGCATGGCCGGCGCCATGCAACCGACCAAGTGCCCAGACCCCCTCGCAGGGCGGACAGACATCACGACGGGAGGCCTTCCGCCGTCTTGGCAGCCCCTCGGGGGGCCTCGGGCGTGTCCACGGAAGGACTCGGGAGGAGAAACTGGCCCCGGGAAAGGGGTCGAGACCTCCGGGGGTCGACGCTGCGACAAAAATCACGGCGTCGGGGTATCGTGCTCTGCTCGTCTCCTCTCCATGGGCTTCCTGGCCGCCCTTCGTCCGCCCACGTGCTCCGTTCCACGATGCGCTGCCCCCTCCTCTTCCCCGGCCTCTCTCTCCTCGGCGCACGTGGGGGGGAGGAATCGGGGGGGGGGAGGGAGGAGCAGCGAAGGGAGGGCGGGGGAGGCAGGGGGGGGCAAGAGTGTCCGCTGTTCGGTCGGTTCGGCTGCGTCGCAAATCGTTTCCGTTCGGTCGGTTCCGTTCGGCCGGTGGTTGTGTCATTCCTGCGTCTCTGCGTCCTTCTGGGCTGCTTGCGGCGTGTCGGCTTCAAGAGGAAGCGCTCTGAACAACCTACGCCCAGAGGGCTGGTAGGGCCTCGAAACGTGACCTGATGAAGGGCGTACCTTGCCGACATGTGGCTCTCACCCCAGCGCCTCACGCAATCACATTAACTGTACACATACACATGTATACAATTACACGGATGCCAGGCGTACCTTATTATAATGTGGCTTTCCGCTTGCAGCCGCGTGCGTTCGTTTCAAACGGTGTGCTTTGTTGGGTGCGTCTCGCAACTTGCACTGCTTCTGTCCTTCTTGTTGTCTGTTGCTACTCGCCCGCTCACCTCCCATTCTTTGTTGCATTGCGCAAGAGCGCAACGACAATTGCTGTTCGTAGATGTTGTGGTGGTCCTCGCCGGCGACTCGCCTGCGACCCGCCCACGTCAATGCCATCTCAAGAGAGCCCCCGATGCTCCTAATGGGGGCCCGAAGGTCTCCCAAGAGACCGCCAAAAGGAGGACCTCGAACCAGTCCAGAGATGACCACCGAGATAGCCAGCATACCCCAAACAGGGCAACAACATGCCCCCCCGACGCCCACAAAAGGCCCCCGAGAGACCCGCAAAATTCCCGGTGGCCTTCGGCCCGACCCGCCGGCGACGTGAAAAGGACCGTAAAGGTAAATCCCGCGAGCTGTTCCGTCCGAGATGGCTCCACGAGGTTGTTCTGGCCGTGAGGTCGGTTTAGGCATGGCAACGGCGCGTCCCGGTTCAGCCCAAGATGGACCCAAGACGACCGAACATTGCCTCAAGACGGCTCGAGAGCCCCCCAAGACGCCCCATGAGAACTTTCAGGAAGGTCCCAAGAGGTACACACAATTGACGTTCCCTTTTTGTACTGCTGAAACAACAGAATCATAGTATAATTCTCGGCTTCAAGATGCAAGGGCGTCAGAGGCTGCCCAGGATGCCCCCAAGACAGGCCCACGACGGCCCGCAAGACCGCAAGACAGCCCAAGAGACTAACGGGGATCCAAGAGGACCCCAAGACTGCCCAGAGAGGACCCTTCAGGTGGTTTACGGAGAGGCCACACATAGGCTCGAGAGGGCCCGCGAAGAGGCCCAAAGTAACCTCGGTGCAGCCCCTCCCCCGTGTCCCCCGAGTGGCTTCCCAAACACCTGGGGAACGCACAATCCACTAGGGTGGCCGCACTTTCGGTATGCATTTCGCGGCGCATGCGTTTCCAAACGGCATGGGGCGGCGGTGACGCGCCGGTTGCGTCCTCGATGCTCGCTGACAGGGAGATTCACGTGCCAGTTTCCCCCTGGGGCCTCGGCAAGACTGCTGCTCTGGGGGCCGACTACAATAAGCAATGTTAGCCGTCCCTCAAATCGGACAGCATCGAACTGCAATCATGTTTGTCCTCCGCCTTCTCCTGCCTGTACTTCCCGTTGTTGGGGTGGGGAAATGGCATGAACCTCTTGAATAGAAGTAAATCAAAAATAATGCGTCCAACACATAATTCGGCTTGTCCTCCGCCAGTTCATGGCCGATCAAGCAAAGATTGAGAATGACAACGCATGCGGAAAATACTTGGAAAGCGCGCGTCTCCAAAAACTCAAGATAATTTGGACCCGGTGGGTACGACTCTTCCTGCGCGTCAAACCTCAATTCCCTCAGCTCGCGCTGAAAACCTTTCACTTTCTTCTCCTCGGCGTCCAAGACCTTTTGGAGATCATTCCGTTGTCGATCCCAGAACTTCTGGTTCCGGTTGAAGGCTCGCTCGTAGCGACTCACAACTGTGCTCAGGGCAGCATTGGCATCCTCTATACTGTCGATGTCGGACTGGAGGGCCTCATAGTTCTCTTCCAGGTCGCTGGCTGCGCACCACGACCGAACACATTCAAACCATCCTCGACGACCCTCCGCCCTCGAAGCGGAAGTCGTGCGCGACAGCGTATCGTCGTCGCAGTCGTCATCAGGCCCCGCCCTCAGGCTCCGCATTCCACTGCCCGCCGTGGGGGGGGATGCCGGGCGGAGGGACTCGACGCCAAACGGCCACGGACCCACCCATCACGCGCCAGGCTGGATCGCCGCGCTGCCGATGCTTGATAGCAGCGACACCATCGACTTTGGACGCCCGAAATGGGTACGGCAGGTTCGTGTTGTGCCGACCCCAGCGTTGGTTTTTGACACCGCGGGGATCGTTCAACCTTGAACGATCGGCCGTCTCCGCATCGTCCGATCGTTCAACATCGACCGATTCTGGGCCGCCGCCGGCGTTCAACCTTGAACGCCCGCGCTGGGGTCGCCGCTGGTCGACACGACGCAAACCTACCGTACAGAAAGAGTGGGTACAATGCCCAACAACAACTGTTGTCCCAAACCAGCAGCGGCCGCTGTTGGACGGGCGGCCTTCTGTCTCGAATGGACACAGGCCGCGGCGGCGCGGACAGCGAGTCCTGCTCAAAATGAACAGGAACTGCTGTTGGGCATCGTACCCATTCATTCCGTACCCATTTCGGGCGTCCTGATCGACAGCGTCAAGCCCGGATCGCGGAGAGGGCAGGCGCCCAGGAGGGCCGGCAGCGCCTGGCCTGC